AAACCAGGCAATTCTTTTTGCAATGAGTCGTTTTAGGCCTTTGCCAAGACATGATAATAGCGATATTGGTCTGTAGGCCCTGGGGTTAGAGTAGTCTTTCTTGCCTGGCTTTAGGATCATCACCACCTCAGCTACTTTGAATGGTTTAGGGTGGTGTCCAATCTGTAGACAGGTCTGGAAAAGGGCTCTGATATGCTCCCTAATGACTGGCCAGCAAGCTTTCAGAATCCGTACTGTGAGGGTGTCTACTCCTGGGGAGTTGCTCTTGGTCCCTATAGTGCACCCTTCAGCCTCTCTTCATTATAAAAGAATCAAAGTTTGACTGGCTTTGTACGCTAATAAAAAGTGATGTAGCTATAGCATTGGAACCATTCATCACTAAACAGAACGCCGAGTCACTTATTACTATTGAAGAGATGTATGACCTTTTCCGGTCCTCTTACAGCAATCCCGACGCAGCTACTCAAGCCAGAGATCAGCTCCATGATCTGTGGATGGAACCAGCGTAAGACTTCTACTCCTTTTGTTCCACATGGGTTCTCTTAGCTAGCAGGACAGGCCTGTCCCAGACAGAATAGAAGTATGAACTGAATCGAAAGCTGACACCACCCCTGAGGATATAAGTGATGGCTTTTTATCTTGACTCTAATGTTTCTTTCAACCAATTTTGAAATATCTGTTCTAGCAATGCTTAACAGCTTGCAGAGATTAAATGAGTCAAGAAGCAGCGCCAAAGCCTCTTGAAAGCTTCCTCTCGCCATATTATCACTGTGGCACCTAGACCCCAGCAATTCATCAGAAGCCTACCAACCCAAGCTTTGTCCAACCAAGCGATTGACATTACCTACCAACCAGCAAGAGCATCACCTGATCAGAAGACTCCCCATCTCTCTAGAGCCCCTGAAAGGAAGCACATTGACTGATCATGCACACCTCACAAAGCAGAAAGCATTATATGCTACTTGTGTGGCAAAGAGGGCCATATTGCTCCCAAGTGTCCAGACAAAAGAACTCCTCATGTACATTTTCTGGAAGAAGACAATGAGGCCTTTTCTGGTCTGACCCAGGATGTTACTTCTGACAACGAGTCAGAAAACTCAAAGGTCTAGGGAAAGTCTCCCACCTAGGCCTCCAATGTACTATCAATCAACTGGCTCACCACTCCCTTGAAATTCTATCACTTCAATCAGACCTCACTGGCTTGATAGGCGGCAGTACCTTTGTGATGACTGCAACCATCTGATGGATTGGAATTGCAGTGCGTGTGAAAGTTTTGATTGATACCGGAGCAGAGGTTTATCTTTTAGGCAGCCATTCAATCATGAGACCCTTGACTCAATGATGGGAATTCCTTTAAAGACATTTTGATGAGCCTGCCACCCTGAATGGCTTTGGCAAGGGGCATTCACAGGTTGTCAACATAGCGGTTATAGCAAATTTCTAGATTCAGGGAAGAACCTTCTGGGAAGTCCCTATCCTAGAAGCGGAGTTTGGGCCCAGCAAGAACTTTGACCTTATTGTTGGCAAGCGGTTTTTGGCTGCTCATAACCTCTTACCAGACTGCCGGCAGAACCGCCTATATTTCCCACCGGAACTACCTTTCATTACTAACTGGAAGACCGACATCACTAACCCAGCTTGCCAGTGGTTAAGGCAACGGGCTATCAATCCTCAGGCCCAGCAGGACATGCTCCATAAGGATTCACAGTGGGAGGATCAAGAGAAACGCCCGCAGAAGATACTACGTCGCCCCCAAATACTGGCTACATGGGCAAGAGACCATCATTAGTCCTTACAGGCTATGAAAGACCAGCTAGCCGGACGAGTTCGCCCGGCATCCTTATAAAAGACTTCCCCACGCCAGGCTGTTCATCCCAAGGTTAACAAAGACGCAATAATGAACGCTCTGGGCGCGGATATCCACCTAGTCTCAAGAAGTACCTTCTTTAGACGGGCTAGTCACCGTTAGAAGGGGCAACATCAACGACACAGCTATGGAAATATGTTCTCTTTTTCGGTATATGAGCTTGATCAAGTCATTAATTACTCTATTAATAAAGAGGACTCAAAGACTCAGCACCTGCTACGCAGCAGGCTTCTCTCAGAGGCACAAGATTTTATAAATATATTTTTCAAGACAGAAAGCAACAAGCTACCCCCTTTCCGCGAGGATATTGACCACAAGATCAAGCTCAAGCCAAGGGCCAAGACTCTTTGCCTGCACCCCTTATATAGCATGAAGGCCGACCACCTTATTGCCCTCAAGCAATATCTGACGGAATACTTATGCAAAGAATGGATTGTTCCTAGTGGAGCAGAGTATGGGTCCCCTGTTCTTTTTGCCAAAAAGCCCAATAAAGGCTTGCGTTTCTGTGTCGACTATCGCGAGCTCAATGCTCAGTCAAAAAAAGACCGCTACCCGCTGCCATTAATCAGCAAAACTTTGGAACGTCTATCTTGCGCTAAGCTGTTCACCAAGCTGGATATCAGGGCGGCTTTCCACCGAATTTGCATGGATCCAGCCTCTGAGGATCTCACGACCTTCCACACGCGCTTTGGCCAGTACAAGTACAAGGTGCTCCCTTTTGGACTTTGTAACGGCCCAAGTACCTTTTAGCGGTATATCAATAAGGCCTTGTTCCCATATCTGGATGAGTTCTGTACAGCCTATGTGGACGATATCTTGATCTTTTCTGCAGACCCATTGGAACACTGGGACCATGTCCGCAAAGTCCTCCAGAAGCTCCGTAAAGCTGGCCTCTAGGCTGACATCAAGAAGAGCGAGTTTGCTATCACATCAACAAAATTCCTGGGATATATAATATCAACCAGTGGCATATAAGTTGATCAAGCCAAGATTGCCGCCATAAGGGACTGGGAAGAGCCTAGGACTGTTAAAGAATTATAGTCTTTCTTGGGATTCTATAACTTTTATTGGCAATTCATAGATAGTTTTAGCAGGATAGCTAAACCTCTTTACTGTCTTATTGTGGCAATCAAGTACCTATAGACCAAGGAACAACAGAGAGCCTTTGACAACCTAAAGGATGCCTTATGCTCAGCTCCTTTGCTCTCACATTTCAAGGAAGCAGTTCCTACTAAGCTGGAAACAGACGCTTCCAATGGTATAATCTTAGCAGTCCTCTCCTAACAGGATGAGCAAAGCAACTGGCATCCGGTGGTCTATTTGTCGCGAACTATGAATATAATAAAATGCAACTATCCTATCCATGATAAGGAACTATTGGCAATTATTTATGCCATGCGAGAATAGAACCATATGCTCACTGCCCTTTAGTATCCCCTTCCTGTTTTTATAAATCACCAGGCACTCCAATACTTTGTCACTAAGCGACAGCTTAATGTCTGACAAGCAGCCTGGAGTAAGGATATCTCGGGCCTGGACTTCATCATCTCTTACCGTCCAGGTAGGGAGAACCTGATAGCTGATACTCTATCACGGAAAGCTGTAGATCTGGCTACACAGAAGGCCATCAAGGATGAAAGTCGCCGCCAGATCCTCCTACCTGTTGAAAGGTTCAACGGACCCGTTGACCTACCTGCGACTGACCCGTCACCTAGTCCAGAGGACCACCTGGTATGTGCCATTGTGGCCACTTTGGAAGCCAACAACCAGGACCCTGACGGTTGTTAGCTTTCCTACTTGGGGACATTGGATGCGTATTCGAGAATTTTGCCCTACGTTCAGGTCCTTAGGGTTTCCATTCCGTACTGACTGAGCCAATTACAGCGCCATACTATCCTCACTGATGCTCGAGTCGAGGTCCACCGCACGAACAGCAAGAACCCGAACGGAAGTCGACACCCTCGAATTACCCATGTCCAACTTGCTCTAATCCAGCGGCAAATCCAGACGCAGGCAAGCTTGGAAGTGGAGGACACCCATCAATGACCGGCTTAGAGCATACCTGCACGAAGTCTATGAGCTATGGAAGGGTTTGAAAAGGCTGGAGAAGGATGTGAAGGAGATCGGGAATGGGGATGTATCGCTCCGTGAGATAGGGCCTTGAAAGGCATCATGCATTACCGTGAACATCTAGTTTCTACACCGACATCAATCAGACACACCCCTATCAGACTGGCGAGTCACGCCATCACGTATAGCTACCATAGAAGCCGTACAATAGCTGTGAAACGAAAGCCCCGTGTTGAATGCTGCAGTTGCCAGGACGTGACAATGGAAGCCTGATAACGACTACGGCGTGCCTTGCCTGATCCTCTGGGAAGACGCGTCTGCCCAAGTAACGCGCCTCGCGCTGTATACCTCGTCGCCTCAGGCGACAGGAATTATTACCCTCACAAAGAGAAAACTCAGATTACCTGACATGTTTATCGCCTCCCATATCCGCGGTAGATTCTGCCACCACGTCCTTGATTCTCAATTCACACCATATTATCTTTGGTGCGACGGTCGGGCACGAAACCCTACCTGGCCCTTCCATTTCTCATCTCTGCACATACTTAAGGTGCAAGGGGCTCTCTACCTTTACCATCCCCCCTTCACAAGTCACCGTTTCTATTAACTATTCTCCATTTACCCTTTATTACCCATCATTTATTATTCACTAAGATTTATCCCTTATTCACCTATTACTATTTACTATTTATTATTCACCAACTACACCATCGCCATCACCAACAACTGGCCAGACCAACGTGAACAGAATCTTCGCAAGCTGATCCGGGAGAAAAACAAAGCGGGAGATACTCCCTGCCATCTGGCAGTCGCCGCTGGCAAGTTTACCACAGCCGGGTACAGTCGACGAGACGATCGCAGCCCCGAGTACTCTATCTTCGTTGGCGACCTTGGACATACAGTTGATGACTTCCATTGTGTGCAATCAGACTCCACATTGTCGCCCGGGCATTTTTGCATATAAGCCAAACCTGCTCCACTCCTTCCACAAGCTGAAGTGTAGAAGCAGAAGGATAATCTAGGGATTGTGCCTCGTCCTTGACTCCTTGTCGCCCTCTTCCAGGGCAAATTCCCGCCTTGCAAGTCCGCCAAGATTACGACCGACCAGCAGACCGGGCAATCGCCCGGATATGGGTTCGTACTGTTCTCCGACGAACAGGACCAGCAGCGAGCCCTCAGCGAGATGCAAGGGGTGTACTACATCGTTACATCCATAAACGGCAAATGGCTGATTGCCAAGGTCAGTCTCACATCCAGTATGCCACACTCCATTGTCGCCTGCTCACATTGACTTCAGCCACTCATGAAAGTCAGGGATGACGACGCCGCCCAAATTGGGCTGTCCAACACGACGTGGCCGGCATCTCTTGACGCGGCTCGACTGTCAAGGCTCGCCAGACCTGCTACTCCAACAACCACTGCATTTTTACCTGCTGCAACTAGGCTGGATGCGTCAAGAAGAACCCTTGTTGTGACGAGGCTGTCGCGGTGCCTGAGTCCGAGTCTGCTGCTACCCCCGTCGAACAAACAATCCGTCTTTATTGCTATGTAACAAGCTAACTTTACAATATCACGGAACAAAAGGTTCTGCAGTTGGCGGAAATCTATACCGCCAACAAAGGAGATCTACTGGGCAGGCGGTGCACTGAGAGGTGCTTTGATATCAAACTCTGCCACCCTGCTCGAACCCTTGCTAACTATCGTCTATAGCATACTTCGATCGCCTCATCCCTTCCGGCCTAGATGTTCTGATTGCTGGCTTTGTGTGCAAAGAGCTGCCTCGGCTAAATACGAACCAAAAAGATTTGAGGATAACGGCGAATCAGGAGATACTTGGCGGACCATCTACTCGTATGCAAAGCGCTTCCGGCCAAGCATACTTCAATGGCCCCATGACCCGCCATCGCCACACGGAGGGCGTTTTTGAAAGATCGGCCAACAATACCATACAAACGTGGGCGCCCATCCCCAAGGCCCCAACTACGGGCGTGTCGATGTCCCGATCCGATTACCTGCCCACCCTGTTCGAGGAAGATGGATATAGCCCTTTGGCTTGGGGCGCGACCGCAGTCATCGATCTGGCATCGATCCGAGGGATCATGGAAGGAAAGGCCATGGTCTAGATGCGGCAATTACTGTACCGCCCATCGTGCAGACAAGGTTTGTCTCGCCACCAGCATATCATGTGCTACCAACGCGTGCACAAACTAACCTCAGTCTTAGATTTGCTCTGAGCAGATCGACAAGAGGGAAGATGTCCTTAACCGCACTTTCGAGCTGCGGCAGCATCGCCTTGATCTAGAGCTTTACTTCAGCTGCCCGAGCATGGCCGTGTTTGGGTACAGCAAAGCCCAGGCACCGACGGAGCACAGATCGAGCTTTAGCGGATTCGAGATGCCTACGACAACCCATCGATCGATGGTAGTGCTGTAAGTTGACCACCTGCAGGCTATTTCATTTGATTATTAATCGAGTATTAGGACGAAGACGAGGTGAAGGTTCTTAACAAGAAATCGACGCGCCGAGGCCGAAAGGCCCCCAAGTCCGCAAAGAAGTTTCGGGCTGATACTACGCCGCGTCGTCTAGACGCGGCAACCACGAGCGGAATGTCTCGTGGCCAAGGTCAGTATTGCAGCGAACATGCCTTCGTTCATGATCACAGACTAATCTTGGCATCATACAGTGTCGCGGCGACTTCTGCCCAATACCTCTGTTGCTGCTGCCCACCGCACGAGTCAAGATCCAGCGAAAGAACAACAAGGACCCCAACGGGGATCGGTACTCTCCAACCACACATGTCCAGCTTTCACTAATCCAGAGACCGGATCTGGGACAGGGCCGGGGACAGGGCCGGGGATAGGGCCAGGCTCAGACGAGTCCTGGGGTGAAGGACACTGAGATCAAGCAAGAGGACCGCGGGGGCTGTCATTAACGATGGCCATTATGGTGGTACTTGCCACGCCTTCCTCGTATGCGTCGGCGAAGAAGGAAGCAGCTACTTTGGGGTAGGATCCTCGGAACCCTGGTAGTACAGGTTACTGAGCCTTGATGCGGTCCAGCTGCCCACCCAGATAGATCATCAATCAGATCGCCTTGACCAAAGGAGCACTCTTTCCGGCCCAGCAGGGTATGCACTCATTCAGCCCACCTACTTCAGGTGTATCCCTTTGATTAAGTCTCCAGCATTGCAGCAGTACTCAAGCTTATGGCAAAACCTGTACTGGCGGCGATGTCGATGCCATCTCTCCATCCGTTGTACTGATGCCATGGAATCTCCGGCAGAGAACAGCCAGGAAGACACTGTTGTCAACCGCTGGCGCCGACCGCCGCCGTCTCCCATCCCGTCACCCACCAGACCAACGCGATATCCCCTCTCGACCAGCTTGTCATTGCATCTCTGAGCGGTCGCGCCATCTCTGCGTTGCCTGCGTTGATGTGTTGAAAGGCACGCAAGCCACCGTGGAGTCAGGGAGGTGGCAGTGCACTAAACAAGGCCAATAGGGGCCACCTAGCCCACAACAGAGACTTCACCACAACACAATCATCACGATTAGCACTGAATACACGAATATCAATTATATGAACCACCATACACGCTGTTTGACACGCGCCGCCTGCACCACGGGGTCTCCGGAGCAAGATGAATTGCCATTACTTACCAGCAACCGACACCCAAGTGGGGAAACCCCCACCATGTCTCTCAGCCGGCCGACAGCCATGGACTTGGGTATCCAGCTGTGTCGTGCGACGGCCCGACGGGAAGAATTGCCGACGGATGACTGTCGCCTTGGATCAGACACCAACAGGAGAGACTGCCCTCCCCTTCCCTTACCTGATGGGACAGTCCGTCCGGCCTGGTCGACGCTAACAAGAGAGAACTTTCGGTTACCAGACGCCGACAGTAGAGACTGCATTGCTCTCTCATGCTGGCACGCCTTGCCCGTTCGCCAAAGGTATCAAGGGACATCCTTGGTTACATGCTTTTTTTTTTGTGATACCTTCTTGGTAAGAACAAGCTCTGACCGGGGCACTCTTGAGGACTGCGGTTCCAGGCCTATGCGCGGGACCGGGGGTGATCATAGGGGGTATTCACTCTCTGGTTGGCCCGGACGTTTCGGGCCTTGTCACTCTGGCTGGGTCTGGGCATTGTTGTCCGGCAAGCGGATTCTGCGAATCGCATGGCCTTCAACTTCGATTTCGAGGACGGTAGCGGTGGCGGTGGCGGTGGCGGCCCGAGTCTCAGCTGCCGGGGCTGTCGCCCCGGCGTAACGTACTACTAGACTTTAGTTTGATGTGGCCTCGTCACTCTGAGGGGAATAACGTTCTGGGCCTCGTCACTCTCGGTGAGGATTGGCGTTTCCGTCCTTGTCACTTCCTCGAGGGCCGGGCGTTTCGGGCCTGGTCACTCTCTGGGAGAAGCTGCCTTGCCATGAAGAATGAGCTGGGCTCGGCGGCTACGAAGGATGAAATCTGTTCCTGCAGATGGCCAGACCCTTACTCTAACCACCAAGCTCCCTACCCCTGGCAGACTGCATTTGACGGCATGATTGTATGCTGACCAACAAAACAGTTACAAGGGCTGTGGAGCAGGCCATTCTGGAGGCTGTTGCATGGATGACGATAAGTCTTCCTAGTACGATCACTCAGAGGGTAATAGCAGTATGCGGTCAGTATATAACAGTCTCTTCTGAAGTTATCGTTTGGAGGAGCAATTGAAAAATGATTGTGTGATGAATTGCCGGCGACGATAGGGGCTACTGTACATACATGATGTGATTAATCGATGGTTCGGTCAATGGTCGTCTCCTCTTTGTGTGATACATGGTGACCTATTGATCAGGCTGTTTTTTATAACGTCTGTTATGTTGGAATGATGTGCAGTACGCAATGCCCAACGAGGTTAAGGGGCATGTACTCTGAAGAGCTTAGGATCCCGATGTCTGGGATGAACATCAGAACATGTAGATCAGGGACCTACACTGGCTGTGAGTCGGGTGGCAAGGTTGTCACCTAGAACTTGCAGCCTCCCCTTTACCTTTCCCCCCCCCCTCCACACAACTCCTCGAACAGAGGGGCACTGTCAGATTGCGTGTATGTATTGTAGTGTTCCGCCACCAGATGTGAAGTAGCGATAGTCTACATGGGCACATAGCCTCCATCCCATCCTAGCACATGAAATGCCTACCTTGAAAGTATGCAATGCGGAATTCATCACACTCATTTATGCAGATTTATAGTTGGTGTCCCGCTCACAACTGAGCAAGGACTCCCTCCACTGAACATTCCCCTTGCAGATCTCCTTATCGCCGAGACTTCTTACTAGACATATCATGCACATTTCCTCATTGTCACAGGTGATATAGTGTTAAAACAAGTAGTATTGCAACAAGTAGTATTGCAACAAGTAGTATTGCAACAAGTAGTATTGCAACAAGCAGTATTGCAACAAGTAATGGGGTATCTCAGAACAAGAAAACAGAATTGGTGGGCAGAAGCTGCCAGGAGGAGGAGAAGATCTATCCTTGTTCTCTCCTCAAAACCCCACAACCAAGAGGATTTTCTTCCTCATATGGCAGAAGGTGGTCTGAAAGATCCGGTGGTCTAAAAGATCCGGTGGTCTGAAAGATCCAGTGTCTGACAGATCCGGTGTTGGCATTAGAGCAGACAAGAATTGGGGTATTGGTATCACAATGAATGCCGTTCAGCGTCATCGAGACTCCAAGGCGTCCACTGCTTCCCGCAATATCGGCCTGCTGAGTATCACCCCTAGTTGGAGTGATCACCCCACTTGCGGACAAGGGCAGTGAAGTGCTGGCACTGGGTGCACGTGGGGCAGGTGACCTGGTTCTCGGAGCCGTGCTTGAAGCAGCCCTTGCCGTTCTTATAGGCGAGGACGTCACTTGCCTTCTTGTAGGCATAGACAACGAACTCCGGGGCAGCAGCCGGCCCGTCCAGTCGAAGAGTTTCGAAAACCTGTCTGGTCTGCTCAATGTGCTTCTTGAGGACTGCCACCGAGCCCTCCAGTTGCATATCCTTGTGTACGCCACCATGGAGAGCAAGTCCAACCTCGCTGTCCGACGTCAGGGCATTGTATAGAAGCTCTCCGCCCAGCTCGCTGTCTACAAGGGCGGCTTTGACGGCGGTTTCGAACAGATGGTGCAGATCTTCGAAAAGTTTGTCACCGTGACGTGCTCGTTGTCTTATGTAGTTCTCCAGAGCGGAATGTCGTGTGGCCCCCAATAATTCATCGGAAGCCGTGACATCGACTGGGATCGAGGCATAGACCTTCATGTAATGCTCCATGAGTTCAGTAAGAGTCCCTTTCTTCTTACCACTCTCGGTCGGGATGTTAAGGATGTGGCTGTTGGTATGACGAATGCTCCAGGTTGGGTGATTCTTGTTTTGGGCATTGGTATAGAAGTAGGTGTTCTGTAAGCCTGCATGGTGATATGCAAGAACTTGAAGCCGCTTAGCAAGGGACATCAACCGGCTGTTCATATACCGCAGGACGCCCGATGTCTAGTACAGTCAGCATATGTCCAGAAAGTAGCTGACCAGAATACTTACGTAGGCTGTGATCGTTGCGTTCCGGACATCCTGGCTCTCAATTGCCATCGAGAGTCTGCGTAAGAGTGGGTTGAGGAATTGGCTTTCAACAGCCATATGAGCGACAGGAATGACCTCATCCCAAAGGGACGTGACTTCCCCCCAAATCTCTCTATGTTCTTGCAAGATCGCCTCACTATACTCGGACTTGTGGTCACGGTTATTGTCATAGCTTTGCGAAGCCTCAATGGACATAATGTCGAGGAGGGACTTTGCTTGTTCGGTGAGTGTCATGATGATCCTGTTATTGATCAGTTAATACTAGCCGCGATGTACAATAGCCTGAAGGGCCAAGAGTTACTTACTGGCTTGCGAAAGTCCGGGCATCATTGGCCACGGAGTTCTTCTCGTCGTCATCATAATCCAGCTCGTGGTGCAGATCCTTCATCTTTGCGATAATGTGATCGTGGAAAGAGAATGTCGCATCGGGATTCTGGTCAGCGACCTTGTATTGAGCCGTTTGGAATGCTTGGTTGTTCTTCAGGATAACGGCTTCAATGGTGACAAGTCGCTCTCCAAGGTCCGTGGTGGTAATGGCTTGGTCCCTGATGGCAGACACCTGTTTCTCCATTAGATTCTTCCGAAGGTCGTCCCTTATTATGGAACACATACCTGTTGACCCAACAGCTCCTTCCTCAGAATGAGTGCCGCCATCTTCTGCTCAATGCTGGAGGTTATACTGCGAGGCATTGGAAGATTGTTGTCGAGCACTGCGGTGTGGGCGCGGAAGGTGGCTGCCATGCTCTTGACCAGACTGCTGTACTTTCTCATGTCCTCTAGAGCCTGTTCGACTTCATCTTCTCTCGCTGTTCGAGCGGCGATGTCCTCAAGTCCCTCTTGGACAAGCTGAATTTCGGCAGAGGGGACAAGTTTAAGACCCCCAGCACTAGTGTAGCGGTTAGTCAGTTTCACAGCCAGATGACATAGCGACTCACAGGTAAACCTCGTCCTTGGTCAAGTGTCGTAAGGGCCCTTCAAAGCGCATGGTGAGCAGCTTTACCCACTGCTGGCGTAATTCGCCATCTTCTCCAATGAGGGATTTCAGCTTGTCCTTGTCTTGCTTGTCGTGGATCTGGAGAGTGCGACACAGCTCCCGAAAGACTCCCTGGACCCTCTCGGGGCTGGCGAGCATACCCAGGTTGTTCATCTTGGTGGTTTTGGTAGGGTAGCACAGAATAAGCAGAAGACCCGTCGCCACAAGGGGATCAGAGGTTTCTATGGTAATCTGATTTCGTGCAAATCCTGCTTCACTAGTCGGCTTCCAGTTGTCAGGCTTGTGGTCCCTCCTTTGCGAATCCAGGCGGCTCAGCCCAGCAAAGGTGAGAAAACAAAGTGAGCGTACCACAGTTGACCCCTTTCTGCGCGGGTCTTCACCTGCAGTGTCGTAAGGCGAAGACTCGGAGTTGTCGGGATGGTCACTTTGGGCTGTAACTGGTTGGTCTCTTTACCGCCCTGCCGAACATTGAAGTGTAGGCTGTTTCTTCGTGGGGGAGCTGGGATGCAAGTAAACAATCGCAGTGACCAATTGAGTCCACTCACGCTCAGGCTACATCGCGATCGGTACGTACCAGCCACCGCTAGTCTATTATTGCTCTAGCGCGGTGCTTACCATGTGGCTCGGGGAAAAGGGGATAGAGGCGGTAGAGGCGATAAGGCCGAGGTTCGCTTAAACAACCCGAGTTGAGTCCCGGAGTTCGGCCGGCAGACGCAGGCAAGCCTGACATGACCTGCACCTGCACCTGCAGCATCTTCATTCTTCAAGCAAACGCCACCTGCAAAGAAACGAAGACACCCGCCCAAAGAGACTCTCCCCTAACAAGCTGCAGCCAACCGGACGCCCATCTGTGAAGTCACAACAGCTCACATTGCCAGCCAGTCCATGTGTCAATCAGAACAGCCCAGTCACTAAGGTAACTTACTGGCCAGCTGGATGAAAGAAGCTTAACGCGGTCACGTCTGGTATACCCAGATCCGAGGCCTTGTTGGACTAGATCTGTAGCCGTCCCGCTACTGTGTAAGTGTTTGTGCGGGCAACTTTGTGACCAATACCAAGCCATTCATTTAGGTTTGCCGGTACTCTGGACTTATCCGTATAGGACCTGCCTGGTGCTTATTTCGACTTCATCTCCGCTATTGCACCTTGGGCAAGTCGTCAAACGAGCCAGCGATCAAGGCCAACGGGCACATGGCACATGTATGATGTAAGTGCTCGAATGATAGAGGGCTGATCTTGAACTATCACTTCATACAGGACTTTGGTCATGGCCCTTAGTAGGTAGGAGGTACCCATGTAGACCTGAAGGCGTGCCTGGGATTTCTAGATGTGGCATCAATCAGGTTCTCAATCATAACCAAATGGGATTTCAAGGTAAACAAGCACGGAGTACCGTCAGGCTGAATCATCAGCCAGGCTATCCCGAGCTCGCCGAGCCGACTCCGCGCGATCTGGAGGCCATGATTCCACACGAGACTGGGCTAGAGGCTGAAGTACAAGATCGTCTCCATCAACCAGCCGGTGATGACAGGTGACATGCATATCGGGCAACGCAGATTGGTAAGCGTGGAGTGCCTACGTGTACCGTCGTCGCCTCCAGCTTAGACGCGGCATGCAAGGTACCTACCCCTTTGCACTGAGTGGAGGCCTCGGCTTATACCTACCAGACGCACGTATAGCTTATACGGTTCATGTTTATAGCAGCCACTCACACAACACGAAGAGTTTGATTATGAAGGGGCAAGCGAGTTACCTACATCCAATCTTGACACTCTCGAAATCAAGGCCTTTCGGACGGCTTCGCGTTGCTGCGCTGTCTCACACGCTGTGTTTGCAAGCAAGCGCTGCTGAATGGCCAAGCCAGAAACTGTACAACCATCAATCCAGCGGTCAACCATCGCAAGTACTCAAATTGGAACAGAACACGAGCCGGAATCCTTCTGCTTTGTCGAATACGGCCCTGATGCCGAAGCTAACGTTGTATGTCCTTGCACAACCACAGCTCCGTCCCGGACCCAGCGAGCACTGCCACCTGGTTCAGCTGCCTCGTTGCAGGAGGTGCCGAGGTCTGTTTCCGGCGCCCAGCCATACATGCACCCCGTTTCGGTGCTTGCAAATGATTCCCTATACTCAATGGGTCAAATCAGACCTGCCCCCACCAACGTCGTGCGGAGTCCAGCCCTGTATAGACCACTCAGGGCAGTCCAACCAGTCATTGGCGGCCTGCTGCGCCGAGCCTCTTCCAATGAGGCTGTTGGACTCTGGCCATGCGTTTGCATGCACTGCTGCCAGGGTTCAAGTGTGGAGATGAGTATGTGCCGGCCCGTCGCCGCGCATATGTGCCGCGCATATGCCGCCATCGCCAAATGTCAAAAGTGACAGCAGCGCAGAATACCCGCTTTATCATGATTTCTTAGAAAATCGACGATCTCTCACATGGCGGACGACGTGGTACCGTATACAGGATGCAGCCGTACGAGGAAAGAGGCTTGGTTTCTGTCGTGCTCTGTACATTCTTTTGTTTGCGCTCCGGTTTTGCTGCCGTAATTCAGCCCGTCCCTCCACGGCATCCTCGTCGCCGTCATACGCTACCGGGGCTCGCCCTGGCTGCCCACTTATTGGCCAAGTATGTGAGACTTCATGAAATCAAGTGCCTTTTCGAAGAAGGCGGTCTCTTAGCTCGATGTATTGCGATGCCTACTCGATGTCACCATGTCTTTGAGCGCGTCGTGTACACTTGCCCTCCTGGGGGACTTCCTGCAATCACGGGGTTGCCATGTGTTCTACGTTGGGCAGTGGACCAGAAATAGTGCAGTCGTGGAGACGCACGTCACGTCACTCCTTGGTTGTATACCGCTTGACCAATTACTCAGTTTGGCCCTTTGGTCTCCTTGGGAACAAACGGTCTGGCTATAACTACTATTATACCCCTCTCTCAACGGCCCCAGCCATGTGTTGTCTCATCCACCTTTATTGCTTCAAGACAACCAATTTCCCTATCCTCCTTCGGTCTTAAGGTTCTGTCTCTGTGCTACCGATACTGAGCCAACAAGACGATGAAGATGACCCTGATCCAACAGCTGGGCCGGATTATCCAGGCCCCTGCCGCGGCCAAGAGATATACTGATGCCGGGGTTGCCATTCTGTTCGTCGTGGTCAACCAGTTCCTGGTGATGCCTATGCAAATCCTCCTGGACCGTCACTCTATCAACCTGCCAGCCTCGATCGTTGTGATGCTCCTGGCCTCCATTCTGATGGTCATCGCCAGCTCCATCAGCGGAGCTGTTGGACAGTTCTACGACAAACATATACGGGGACCCAGCGATTTTCTCGGCCGCCATATGTCACTAGGCTTCGTAGCCTTCTTCATAATGCTCAACCGAGACCACATCACCAATTCTGCCGATGTACCCAAGATTGCGGGAGCCTTCGGTAGGTGGCAAACGGAAACATCAGCCACGTTATGTCTCAGCTAACGGATACCTGTAGTCATCACAACCATTATGAGCTACGTGAGCTCGTTTCTCCTTGCCGCAGGGGGCTTCAAACTCGAGACTAGTCTCCGAGGTCTCCGAACAAGATCCGCCACCGATATCGAGAGCAACAACAGACAGTCATGGCCACAGCCTACCCCCGAGTGGCCAGCTCCCTCAACGCAGAAGCGACCCAAACTGATATCCGAGATATCCCAGCTCTCGACGATCAACGAGCTCTCCACCAACGCCTCATTCTTATCCGCCAACCCCTCCGCCGAGGACTCTAGCGCGCAAAGTATTGAGAGCAATATCAAACAGTCATGGCCACAGCGTCCCAAGCTGATATCCCGGATATCCCAGCTCTCGACACTCAGCGAGCTCTCGACCGACGCCTCGGCAACCGAGTCCTTACAGAGTAACAACACACAGTCATGGCCACCGCGTCCCAAGCTACTCTCCTCTCTCTCAATGGTCTCCATCAAAGCCCCCCTCCTATCCACCAACGCCGCCACCGAGGGCTTCAGCCCACATAGGCCAATGCGTCCCAAGCTGGTATCCCATATCTCGACGCTCTCGACGCTCTCCACACACTCCTCCCTCTTTTCCATCAGACCCGAAAGCGAGGGCTCCAGTGAGCGGATCATCGACTTCTTCGTCCACACCGTGCCGATCTGGATCAGTCTCTCTTTGCTCCTCGTCGTCGGCGTGCCCGTCTACCTGGCAACGGGCTACGAGATGCCCTTCGAGGCGTTCACCTTCGCAGTCCTGTGGGCCGTGACGACGCAGTTCCAGCGCTGGCTCCGCCTCAACTACTGGCTCCTGTGCCACCCGCGGGTCCGCTCGCCCCTGGTCATCTTCTCCAACCCACTACTCTTGACCTGGGCCCTCGGCTCAGCCTACCTCTGGACCAAGACCGCCACGACGGGCCGGTCCATCGAGGACCTCGTCTCCTCCTTCCGGCACTACAGCTCGCTGGCTGAGAGCCTGGCGCACATCGTCGCCGACCGCAAGTCCTCCTCTTCTGCCACGACTACCTTCACAGACACGGTGGCCGCCAACCTCGGCGCCGGCGACCTCGCGGGCCCGCTTCTCGACGCCGGCATCGTCTGCCTGGGCCTGAAGATGTACGAGTACCGCCACGAGCTGTGGGCGGCCTTCGGCACCGTGTTCGCGACGTGCACGGCGCTGGCGGCGCTCAACGTCTTCGCCAACCCGGCCGTGGCGCGCCTCTGCGGACTGCAGGCCGACGAGGCGACGGCGTTTGCCGGGCGCTCCGTCACGCTTGCGCTGGGCGTGCCGGCCATCGAGAATCTGGGCGGCAGCACCACGCTGATGAGCGCCGTGGCCATCTTCAGCGGCATGCTGTTCGCGATGACGGGGGATTGGCTGTTCACGCTGGTGCGGGTCAATGATCGTAGGGCGGTCGGGAATCAGGAGAAGGTTACGGAGCCGATGTTTGTTTCAGATGATGAGGCTGCGACGGCGGCGGCGCCGGCCGACGTGGTGGGCCGTGATGCTGAGAAGGGCTGCCCGATCGTGACGGTCACGAACACGGAGAAAAACTGCGTGACGGTCACAGCCACTGAGGGAGAGCCGGGCGGCAGGATACGGAAGAACGCCACCTGCACCGAGGAGAGCGGAGTGGTGGCGTCGGGTGTGACGGTGGGCATCAACGCCGCGGCCATGGGCACCGCGTTCCTGATCGAGCGCGACTCTCGCGCGACGGCGTACTCGGCGCTTTCGATGACAGTCTTCGGCGCCATGACGGTGGCACTCACAGCGCTACCTGGGGCCCGCGAGACGATCGTGTCTCTGACGACGAGATGACCCCGGTCATGTCTGCTTTGGTGTGTTTTAGCTTTTGGTGTGGCGGGCCATACATACGATCCGGATGAAAGTGGGACGAATTGAGAACGAATGATCTGACATGAGTTGATGCGAGATGAGGTCCGAATACGAATACCCAATGTGGTTGCATTTAGAAGGGGGCAAGGCAAGGGGGTTGGTTTTGGAAAGGGGCGTACGATACCACCACCGTCATAGTCATTTAGTCACTGTGTAATGATACCACAACATACCCTACCTACCACGAAACAGGATAAGCTTTTCGCTTCGCAAATGTGATACCGCCACCGTCGGGAGCATCGCACAGGGACACAGGGAAGCGTCGGGCATCATGGGTAAGGTATCGAGCGGTGAAGCTCGGCCACCAGGGCCGCCATGCCTGGAGTTGCAAGAGGCCGAAGAAGCAGCTCTTTTCTTCGCCGTGTGTGCGTCCAACGTCTCTTACGTAACACATCCTGGATTCCGGCCATTGTCGTCGCCGCGATGCATCTTCAAGATCCCTCCCCGAACGAGAAGCGATCATGACAAAGCCAGCCGCGGTCACCATGGTATGAATTCCGCCAGAGGAAACCGACACCCACATCTCACACGCTTGCATACAGAACGGCAGGGGACAACGAAGCCATGGACCTGATAGTCCTACCGGAGTGGACTGGGGGCTCTGATACCCTCGCCTTGACGGAGGTTTGAATTGGCTTCCGGAGCCACAACGTAGGTATGTAGCTAGCACACATCGTGGACCGCTTGCCACGTCCTATCGTCTTTGAGACTTTGGTGGACTCGCCGCTACGCAGCATCCTACAGACGTTGAAAACTGCAAACGAAAAAAAGCCAACCAACCGATGGTATGGATCACGATCTGGTGCGACCAAAAGGCTCTGAAATCGACGATGGGATGGGATGGGATCGACAGGAACAGGAGTTATAGCCGCGGTCACGGTGGCATGTACTCCATCCCGCACGATCTGGTGCGACCATGGGGCTCTGAAATCGACGATGGTATGGGAGTTACAGGTCCGGTGAGCAGAGACAAGACCGGCGACACCTTGGAGCCTGTAATGATACCTACCCATGTTTCGTGATGTAACTATGCGGTGGAAGGAGCAGACATGTTAAGATTTCAGGACTTCAGGACTTCGTACATGGAACTTACGCATGGAAAGTGTAAGACTTTCTGTACACTTACGCTGATTGACCGCCTCCCTTCCCGGCCTCGCTTGCCTTGCTTGCCTCCCTTGCCTCCCTTGCCTCCCTATTTCAGGGGTGACGACTAAAATACTTACCTATTCGTCTGGGTCTAGTGTCGACCCCAAGACTATGCGGCCACAGTTACTCCTTATTAGTCTGATGGTGGCCATCATACCAAGATGAGTAGTAGCTACTACGTAGGCTAGTCGCTAAGAATAAGCCTCGTGGCAGGGATTAAAAGTCACACAAGAAAATGTGGTACGGACGTCGGAGCTGATGAGAATGATCGTAATTCCGCGCCACCAACGTTTCAACGGCTTACCAATTCGGTGGTACTGTCGTGGCCCCAATGACTGTCGAGTAGGACAACCTGAAGAACAGACCGCGCGGTGTATGGGAAAGCTCTGCAACACATAGGCTGGGCTGGACAACGGACGGAAAGGTGACAGGAAAGCAGAACTTTTATGGTATATTGAGGGACCTGAGTTTGGCGTTATCAGGAATCTCCTTCCGTTCGAAAATACAGTCATGATGTATGTAGATTGAAAGGCGTGAAATGTGCAAGCGTCCAACGCAGCCGCCATGTGGTTGCAGGGCAATAAAACGATGCCGCCAGAACTGGCTAAGCCGGGAAGGATGGGATGGATTCATGCTCAGTCAAGTCTCTCAATCAAGTGCAGACCGCTGGCCGTTTCGACAATGCCGCTCATCTGGCCGGGCTGCAGGGCGAATGCCGACTGCTCGAATTCCTGCTGCATGTCTCCCTTTCCAAAGAACCCCAGATCGCCCCTCTTTCGAGCGGAACTGCAGTCGCTCTCGCTCATGGCCAACTCGCCCAGCGTCACGGACCCGCTCTTGATCTTCTGCTCGTGTCCCTTAATGATATCCATGGCCTCCTCCTTGGTCCGGGTGATCTCGCTCTCGCGCCAGCTGGCAGGCCGCCGGCTGTCTCGGTGCTTCACCAGCAGGTGGGCGGCGCGGATCTTGCCCTCGGGGCGGCCGGCGGAGGAGCCCTGGGAAGAGGAGTGGTTGGTCGCCATGTACTTCTTCAGCTTTTCGGTGTCGGTGCCCGAGGGCGGCTCCCAGCGGGAAATTTTGTCGTCGGCATGGAAGTAGTAGGGCAGGTTCTTGGAGTTGCTGTGGCGCACTTCCCAGCCCTGGGGGAGACCGCTCTCGCTCTGCCAGAAAGTCAGCTTCATACATGCCGAGGTTGGATAACTTTCTGGCTGTCCTGTTGGAGGGCTACGGCGAGGGGCGCGGGGCGCGGGGCAGACCCAGGCGCTTGCTGGGCTGCTTGCTGGGCTGGGGTGCGTCTTACCATTTTGCTAACAGTATGTGCTTTAATTGGTAAGGAAGTTGTCTTCTGCCAGTTCGCAGTATAAAGAACCAATTGAAATGATCACGATCGAAGACCGCAAGACCGCAAGACCGCAAGACCGCAAGACGTGTAGGCTCGATTTGTTTACGTAGTAGCAAGGACAACGGGGAAGATACGGGAGTGGGATAGAAGTGTATGGGCTTCGCCTTTGTGCGCTGGTAGTATTGATAGCTGCTACGGTGTTTCAGCTGACGGTTGAAGTAAAGACGAGGAAGCTTTCTACTCAATTCGCGACAGAGGAGAGTCAACTTGTCAACTTGTCAAGAAGGTCGAAGTACGATGACGAAGGTTGCATGCGGCAGGGCAATGGCGCGGGCGGTTGAGCCGAGCAACCGTAATAAGGTACCTGCCCGGTAGTCCGCCGAAACGCAGGGGAGGTTGTGCTGACAGGCTGACTGACCACCTGCATTGTGGTGGGGCCTTCCTGGGGGAGCTCACACTGTGCATGATATCTTATTTATATTCACATGCCCCTCTATGCCTATATTCGCTCTTGATTCAAAGCTGAAGCGCTCTGTAGAGTACTGGATAATTCTGCGATCATCCTGGGTTCCCGACGTCAATATATGAGCTTCTGGATATGATGTGTAGACCCTGGCCCTAAGGAATAACACAACTGTCAAAGTTTGCTACTGATTTTGGCCATGATTGCCCGATGTGCACTGCTTGTGCTTGATGCTTATATGAATAATTGATTAGGTATTGGAGAACCCTCAAATCCACTGTTTCAGCCCGCGCACAGTGCTGGCTCACCAGAGCCGCCAGCAATGCTTTCTCTAAAAGTCCATGTGGCTGGAGCTGCCGCCCCGTTGCGTCAGGCCCCGGGGCTAGAAGTGGGGCTGGTTTTCATTGTTCCAGATCAGATTCATCAATCAGATGTCAGAGCAGGCTGCATTGGTTGTGACTGATTCAAATTTCAACACTGGCGCATCAGCAACATCTTGCCTTTCTTTCTTTCAGCATTCAACATCATACCACCACTACACACAACGTGCAGGGTCTGATTTCGTGATCCTAAAGTTTCGCGCTGATTTCGTTTTTCCCACCAAACCGAACGACCTCCCCGACAACACATCAACAAACCCAAGGCTCCTCAGCTCAGGTAGAAGTATCACGACAGGAGTGCTTCGGCGTTTGCTTCACGGGACCAACCCCACCACCACCACCACCGCCACCACACTCAAGAAATATCCAACCATCCCACTCAGAATACAAATTCCACCGCGTCTTCAGAGCAAAATCAGCACCTCACCTCACCTCAACTCAACCACCTCATTTCACCCCACTTGCCTCTCGCAATGGCGACTCCTCAGTCCACAGCTTCTGGCGATGCGCCGCCCGCCGCCAAGGGTAGCCTGGAGCAGATCACGTTCCGCTTCTGCTCCGAGTGCTCCAACATGCTGTACCCCAAGGAAGACGAGGACGCTCACAAGCTCCAGTTTACCTGCCGGACCTGTCAGTACACCGTGGAGGCCACATCGAGTTGCGTCTTCCGCAATGTTATGAACAATGCTGCCGGCGAAACTGCAGGTGTCACTCAGGATGTTGGATCGGACCCTACGGTTCGTAGTCATGTTTCCTTTCACTCTTCGCATGCTCCTGCTGGTGCCCATGCCTCTCATGCCTCTGCTCCTGCCACTGCCGACGATGATCTCGCTGTCTGTCTCAGATGCGGTATGACCCTACTACATTGTAGCCGGTGTAAGGATCCTGCCTCCATCGACGAATACAACCATTTCGTGAAGCATCACTTAGACTTTGCTGTCGCAAAGACCCTAGGCTACATCGGAGTAGCCAGCCTTTGGAACGCCCTAGACACCGAAGGACGGACAGCATGGGATGCCCGGTTCGCTTCGTGCAGAGGTGTAAATCTAGGTCATCTCTCGCAAGACACTCTGGCTCACTATCTACCCTTCGAAATTGCCCTCAACCCCAACGCCGATCCTCCGGAGGCCCTCGGTATTGATCAGGAAGACTACGACAACACCGATTTCCTAGTATGAGCACGTTCGCTGTCATCCACCGGCTTTGACGTCGTGTCACATACCACCCACCGCACCTTTTGTCGACTGTCGTATGGCAGTTCTGGCCTACCGAGCCCCCGAGCTTCATGAGACTTTCCGATACTTGTGAGGTTGCACTTCGGCAGCCCCATCCAATCACTTCCACTTCTCATGCCAGGGTCTTCTGGACAGTGGAACCTCGAGATGGACTATTCGACATCAATAACCATAAGCCGGATGAAATCGAGAGAGAGCGTCTGTTATACCTTCGGAATCAAGATGTTGTGCTTGGCGCTGTCGTCTATGACATATATGAAGGAGACAACCCAGCAGACACCCAGGCAGGCCATATCAGAGAGGGGGGTTTCGACTTGGCCCATTACTAGCAACAGGGCACCCAGCTTGGGGGAGCATGCATTGTTTGTACTCTCTGATGCTGAAGCTGGTGCTGACGTTGCGTTTCCGTCTTCTAGCTCCCTCGGTCGAACAAGACCTGTCCTGCATGCCAGCACGATGAAGCCGTCTTTTTCCAATCTCAGCAGCGAAGTGCCGAAACTGGCATGGTGAGTATCTCAGATCCGGGAAGCATCATGATACATGGAGTGTCTAACGGTCTCCCAATAGAAACTCTTCTATGTCTGCTGCGATTGCGGTCACATCTTTCAGTAAATCTAGGGCGTCCCTTGAGATTCCTCGAGTATGATACCTGGATTTGCCGCGAGCACTCGATTTTACTATTCATAGGAGGCGTTGCATGGATTCGGAGTCTAGAGCGGTTCACAGGGTCTACGTAGGCTACGGATTGGCATGCTTGTTCAATAGACACAAATCGATTTCAGTTACTTCTGACAGCGCACTGTCTGACCCACTGGTGTTTACTGTGTGCTCAACATGGTGTCGCCGTACATATTCACCTGAAAATGTTTTTAACTTCTGTAAGCAGTCACAAACCGTGATCTGCCGTGCTTCGATCTTGACACATGTCGTCGCCGTCTGCCGTGCTTTGATCTTGACGAATGTCGTCGCCCTTAGCATTACGGTTATGCCACGCTATCCGACTGGCTAGACCATGGTACTTGGAAGATTTGTATATTCGATCTTGGCACTGGCTACGACCTCTAGAATCGCAGGCAAATGAGCTCATCGTGAAAATAGCCTCCTGTCTTGCCAAACGCCCTCTAGATGCCCATCACAGTTATAGTACAATGTTGGTGCAGTTCGTGGCATTCAAGCAGCGTCCCAGCCTCACTCCACTGCCCACCAGCTCTATCCATCGCCTCTTATTCAGACGCCGTCGACAATACCACGCGTAGTCATACATCCCACCGCCGATTTAATCATATATATCCTTCACACCCCCTCTTCCGCTCCATCAAGGCATCTACCTATCCCTCGTCGTCGTCATCGTCTCGACCGACCGTCCGTCCCCCACACCCCTTAAGCGTGCGTAGGCGCCATACTCAGGATCTTGCTCCACTTGCGGCGGCGCAGCTCGGCGCCGACGACGCCGTTGACGCGGGTGCCGATGGGGTCGCCGGCCTTGTTGATCAGCACGCAGGCGTTATCGTCGAACTTGACGACGCTGCCGTCGGGCCGCTGCACCTGCTTGCGCGTGCGCACCACGATGGCATGCCGGATGTCGCCGCGCTTGACCTTGTTCGCCGCCGACGCCACGCCCATGCCCGCGTCCGACGCGCCGCGCTGCTTCTGGACTATGGCTACGATGCGGTCGCCTGTTTTGTGAGGAGGGGAGCGGGTTAGCTTGAGGTGTCTTTTGGAGTTGGAGCTGGCGTATCGGGGAAGAGAAGGGCGATGAGGAGGACGAATGAGAGGCGTACCTATTGTTGCATGGCGTTTCTGGCCGACGACGAGGGCGCACTCGACAATGGCGGCGCCCGAGTTGTCGATGCAGTTGAGCATAGACTGGGAGGCCCGATGTTTAGCGACCTCCTTCGCAACCCGCGGCAGACCAACACACCACCTAGTTACCCATGGGGGACATGATAACAATACCAACAGCTAGGAAAAAGAGAGCAAACTTTCATACCTTTAATTGAATCATCGTGGCCGTTGTACCCTGGTGCAGGGCCCAATGCAATCCGAGGCTGATGCGATAGGGTGCTGTTGGATGATCTCTGCAGTCGAAGCTCTCCTTGTTCGCTCAAAATTAGGCGTGCATTCAAGGTTGGACGGAAGTCTCCGACGCCAGTGTCCCACGAGGCTGAAGCACTACCCACCTAAACGTACCCCTGCATAAAGCGTGGTATCCCTGGGACGATGTGAGGCCAATCATTTGGCCTGAGGTACATAAGTCACATCCATCATTCTTCAGCCTTCTCTTGGCTATCGTTTTGATGCAAATATGTGCAGATTCATGCAAGTAAGCAGTGTCCCTCCCGTCCTCAGCCCTGGCAGCCCCCGGTCCGGTTAGTGCCGTTGACCTGCCACCCTCTTTTCCCACTCTTTTCGTGTGTGGACTGCGGACGAGGGACCCGGACGGCCGCCAAGTTCCAACATTGGTCGGCCCAGCCAACTCTAGACATTCAAGTTGGATCGCATCACACACATCCAGCTTAATTACCTTCCTTTATGACATCTCTCGACTCTACTCTTCCGACGCAGTATGCCAAATTTAACCGCTCTCTTATTTTGCCTCTGTTTCTGAATCGGTTCTAAACGAGTATCACTCCTTGATCTACCTTGTGGTGGTGGTCAGTGGCCTCTAGTCAGGGTTGGCGTGTTCACCGGACGTTCTTAATTCATCCCTTTAATTGGGGTTTATTACTCCTCCTCCCACTTCTCGGGTCTGCCCACCAAACCACCTCTCGCATCATCATAATCTCAGCAGCTCGCAGCATCTTCGTTCGATTAAGTTTGAGCCGGCTGAGCCAGAAGAAGTGCTCGAGTACTGCGTGTTTGAGAGGGTGTGGGAGACTTCAATCCGATCTTGTCACAGCCGCAGCTGAGCATCCCGCATTGAACCCAAGAATATCACTGCCAGATATCACAGCCTCACTTTCACCTCAGGCACATATTCGACTTTTCTCTCGGGTTTTACGAGGGGGCCTGTGAATAACACCCTCGCTCACTCTTTTCAATTTTACCGCAAGCTTCTCGTTTTGCAACACCGATTCCTTTCCCACATTTCTCTTCACCATACTTCCCCATCTTCCTTATTACAACAGCATACTCGTCTCGTCAGCCAGTGCCTCACTTCACTGGCTTCACAAAACCAGTTGCGACAATGCCTGCAACACCTTGCGCTGCTAGGAAGCAGCAGATCACTCTGGCGCAATTGTCGTCCTATGACGACATCCTAACCGATGCGCTTGTAGATCATGTAAGTTGTCACTCCCGCTTGTCGCATCGGCAGGCCGCAATGCCCAAGGAGACGACTGACCCCCAGCTAGGCCTACTACTGGACGACCATTCCGAAGAATCGAATCTCTTACCATCCCTCGCGAGGTGTCACCGAGTCGAAAATTGCGAAGATCATTCAATCCCACCTGATCGTCGAACCGGACATCGAACTCGCCGAGACCAAGCTGCTTGCGACGGAAGGCCTCCGCAGATTCCACAATGGGCTCAAGACACCCAAGGAGAAGGACGACTTCCGTGCCCACCTCCGACGCTACATGCGACTCTACCTACCCGACTGCCCCTTCGAGGTCAGCTCGACCAATCGCTACACCATCATGAGCCACGAGGCAGCCATAACTGCGCGCAAGTTCATCAAGCGGGGGCAGCCGGTCAAGTACCTTGAGGGCATCCAGGTCATGATTACCGAGAAGGAGGATCGGGAACTTTCTAAGAGAAAGAAGGACTTCAGCATCGTTGTCAGCGCCAGAAACAAGTGCGCTTCGCTGTTCATGGGACCTGCACGATTCGCCAACCACGACTGCGGCGCCAACGCACGCCTGACGATTACTGGTCACACAGGCATCGAAATCGTCGCAACGCAGAATATCGAAGTGGGCGACGAGATCACGGTATCATACGCGGACAACTACTTCGGAGAGGACAACTGCGAGTGCTTGTGTAGCACGTGCGAGGAGAACGCCGTAAACGGATGGGCGCAGCCAGAAGGCGGTGCTGTGCTAAACAAGAGCGTCGAGGAGGTGGTTGCAGAGGGATACTTTTTGCGCCGCAGAAGCAACCGGGAAGACAGCTGCGCATCAGCGTCTCGCACCCCTTCCGTCACCCCCGACATTCGACCCAGAATCCGTAAGACTCGACCGAAGGCACCTCGCGTGGACTCCGAGGGAGCGCCTATAACCAATTCACCCGTACCCCAGAATTTGCTTCGTCAGAAGCGCAAGCGCGAGATCGAGTCCCTCCAGTCTCCGCCGGTCACTCCGGCCAAAAAGCTCAAGATGGCCCAGTACGAAGTACAGCCTATCCCCATGTCTGGGACATTATCCCGACGCAGCAGCGATGATATCTCGGCTAGCGGGCAGTCTTCGTCGGAATCAGGAAGCGCGGACATGGCCATGACTGATGCGACAACCCCAGAGGAAGACCCCAAGGAGCCGGGCCTTTCGTCACCGGCACTGACACCAACCAGGCTGCTGTTACAGGTACTGAAGCAAGAAGAGTCAGAAACCTCCTCGCTATCTGAACTTGCCTTCACCCCGTCTGAGGTCGCTTGTGATGAGAACCCTGTCGCAGAGGCACCTTTACCCACCATTGAGACAACTCAAGCTGCTGAGCAAATCTCTGCCGTCCTTCCCATCAACCCTGCCGTTGTGGAGCTGTCGTCTGTTGAGCCCATCACTCTACCGTCTCCCATTGCACCAGTGCCCAGTGAGGATGTTGCTGTTCTTCCTCCTTCTGCCCTCTCAACCGCAGAGTCTGCTGTCAAAGAGGAACCTGAACGTGGCCGACCTCGCAGAGGCAGACCCCGAAAGGGCGAAGAACGCAAGGTGGTCGCTATCGCCGAGGTAACTCCCACCCAGATCCGCAAGCGTACCCCGGGCGATTACCAACTTACTCCGGCTCTACTATTCGAGCCCAACACCGCTTGGATTCATTGCACCATATGCAACGACCCCTTCGTCCAGCAGAACGCCTATTACACGCGGAGTTCCTGCCCCAGATGCGAGCGTCATTCCAAGCTCTATGGTTACCAGTGGCCCAAGACCGAGAAGGAGGGCCCGAATGACAAGGAGGAACGGATTCTTGACCATCGCCTTGTTCACCGGTTCTTGACTGCTGATGACGAGGCCAAGATTCGTGGCCGCAGACCTCCGTCTAGCTACCTCAAGCCCGCCACCGCTCTCGTTGTTGTGGAAGGCGAGGCACCCGTTAAGCGAGGCCGAGGCCGACCCAGGAAGTATCCTCTTCCGCAACTTGTACTGCCCGCAGCGCCGGCGCAGCTCGATCCAGACGCAGTTGCAGAAGATGAGGACGAGGACGAAGGTGACTCCGGCAGCACCAGACGCAGCGGACGCAGAAGACAACCGAGCCTGAAGGCGGCCGGGTGCTAGATCCACACTCTATATCAGCTGGCATTGGGTCGCATACGGCGCAGTAGGTCATAACTAGACTTGGATGAGCCTGTGAACATCGCGATTTTCCTTTTATTTCATCGGTACAAGTCATCCACCACTGGCTCTTTCCGGGATTTATAACCTACGCCAGCATACAAAGCATTCAACGGCGTTGCATCGAGTTGAGCGTTCTGCATTCCAAGGGGAGTTCATACACCGTCATTGTATACTAGTAGGATATTTACCGCGTAGGTACAGCTTTCGACTAATCGCAGAGCAGGGACTATTCAAGCCGCCTGCGTCGAGTGGAAGAAGCTGGGAGGGTAGAGCAAAGAATACAACCAGATATACCAACAGCAGATCCGTCTTCGTGCCAGTAGCTGTGAAAGTGCATCAATCGTGTTTATCTGGCTCGTGGTTATTTGGCATTCCATTCCAATCCGGATTTTTCAGCCGCCGGCCTTCAACGTAACGACATGAAAGAGCAGCTCGAATACCAGCATCCATCCGGACAACCCTCTAACAAGCGCTGTATTATGCAGAATGAACATCGGGAGTATCACAGCAACCTTCACTCTGATCGTTATTGCTACCTCTACGGTGAGTTTGCCCATTTTCCGATTTCGGGGTGCACAAAGCTGGGGAACCAAGCAAAGAGCACAATGCCGACCTCGCGGTCAATGGATCGAAAGAACAGTAGAATCTGGTGTTGCTTTGTCCTAGGCCAGTTCCCAAAAAAAATTGTCTAGACCTACAGCAGTACGTGAGTTTAACGTAGCCCTTGGTTCGAGCACCGAAAGAGCTTCCGGCCGTATGGCGCAATGGTCAAATGCGTCTGGTTGTGTTCTCGTTTGTGCGGTGGGCGACGAGAACAAGTGGGTTCGAATCCTGCTATGGCCCCCTTCTGACCCGGCTTGTGCGAGTCGACAACCAGCACACGACAGTGGAGAGGCCCCATTATCGCAGAGCCCGATAGCCAAGCAGCTTGTCTCCACAACACCCACTCCTGCGAGGTTTCTCCCCTTGTGGTTTCCCTCGCCAGTAGATAACAAACACCTACTTCACCCACCAATGCGACATATATCGAACGGCTACTGGAACGATGTGTACACCAGAGGACTGAGGTTCACTGGGTCGCTTTGTCACTGGACAGGAGGTTTTTCTGACGGAATCGTGCTTGGGTATTGACTAAAACCATCTGGACACTCCAGATTGGTACCGCTACAGCGAGGATAGGCTCGTGCGCGGATCTGAATGTATCTAGACTGACACCTCTACAACCTTGCGATGCAATGGCTCTGGGAGGTGTGGTTTGCCCTGTTGAGGGACTGCACCCACGATAAATACAATCAATCAATCAACCGAAAGAGCTTCACACGAATTTTGACAATTACATTTCTGTGATTCGTTATCGTTGCTATTCAGTATCCCAGCGTCAAGTTTTGGCGTTGACCACCGACGATAAGAAGGGGCATGCAGAACCCCTTGCTGGCCACCGTGGGCTTGTCGAAGCATGTCTGCGGTGTACATAGACAGGTCCGTATTGCCTCCCCTTTCCTCACACATGCTTCTTCCGCATACATATCTGGCATGCTCAGACGTCGGAGTCGCCCTAGTAGTGAAGCAATGGAATGACCCGAACTGACAATCAGCAGCTCCAGCGCATCACCGGACACGTCGATTACCTCGTCTTACTCCTGATCTTGCTGGGCATCGTGTTCGCGTTCCTGTTCGCCGAGATCCTGGACGAGACGGTTGATGAGGAGGGACACGAGGGGAAATTCATTCGCTTGAAGGACAAAGCGGCTTTGGACTTCGAGTATGAGAATATCGGGGATGGGGAAGGCGATGGCGAGGAGTATGGGAGTGAGACTGATATTGATGTTGATGGGGCGGAGGATATGGGAAGGGAGCGGTTTCTGGGGCGGCTGTTGGGGATGAAGAGGAAGATTGAGTGTGCGTTGTAACTCAAGGGACAGGCTACGTGTATCAACGGTGGTCTGCTGGGGTCTCGTAATGAGGCTGTGTCGTTTGAAGGGAGGAAGCAACAATAATGATGCGGCATGATATGAGGTATGGCCATTTTCATTGCGACTGGATAGGTACGAAAGGGTACAAACATATTGAGGGAATATCGTGACAAGACCAGCTGGACTCGCAAAGATGCGCCTCGTCAGAGTTGTACTTGAGGCCGTTGATCCGACAGGGAGGAGCCCTTGATCCTGCCGGTGGTGTCGGGGGTCTATCTGAACGCAGCCGGAGTACACCGTGGGAGATTATGGAGCCGTGCTTACTGCCGATACGCCTTGGGCTTGCAATGTGTGGTTTCCAGCCTGAAAGCGTCTCTTTGATATGAGCCAAATACCAGTCACCCAGAGCTGCAGTACCTAAGCTAACAACTTCGGTCGGTACTCTCTAATTGACAACTTGGCCTCCTGCCCTTAGACTCTTGCGTCCATATTGCCCCCCAAAGGGCCTCCTTGACCTTGCCCATGTAAGAGCCCGTGTAAGAGCCCGTATCCATGTGCTCGTCACTGGCTTCCTGGGACAGAGCCATGCGCAGGATCATCTGCCCTCGGTCGACGGCGAGTTTCAAAAGAGTGCGCAGCGTGATTTCTGCGATGATACCACCTCGCATTGTTACGTATAAGAGCAATATCAAGATCCTGATTGAATGATCACCTCGCGCAAAGGATTTCCTCTTGGTAGTACTACGTCAGAGTTGACAAGGAAAAGCCAGTCTCTAGCTGATGACCACCCGTTATAGATCTTTAGAAGAATGCCCCGTTGATTGGTGACAGTCTGACAGTTCCAAGGATGCTATTCCTGGCTAGTGCATGAAAAATGAGGGTCCGATCATCGAACATGTCACAAATCCGAACTGAGATCCGAACCGAAATCCGAAACCCCGTGGTTGACATGAGCCGAGCGCTTTTATCACCGCATATAATAAAGAGCGACATCACTGACCCTCCACACCTTCATTTCGACATACTGCTGTCACACCACGCCCTCAACTTATCACCACATGGAAACCCCAATCCTGATCATCGGTGCCGGAGTAGCCGGTCTGGCGCTCGCTCAAGGTCTATTCAAGCACGACATACCCTTTCGCATCTTTGAACGCGATGGAAGCTTCCACGCTCGCACGCAGGGCTATCGCGTGCGGATCTCCGAGGATGGAATCGAAGCTATGAGATGTAACCTACCACGTGAACGATTTGATACCCTGGAAAGTTCATGCGCCAAGGTTACGAGCGCCAGCAATGCCCCTTCTATCCTCGACGCCAGTACTGCGCAAGCAGGTGCACCACTCTTCAAGCCTGGCCAGAAGCCGCCATCAATGCAGCAGACGAACACCAAACCTTGGAGCGTCGACCGCAGCGTGCTGCGGGAGGTATTGACGACGGATCTCAGCCCTTTTCTTGAGTTCGGGAAAGGATTCCAAAGCTTCTGCGAAGACGGCGACGGTGTGCGCGTCACCTTCACCGACGGCAGTACAGCTCGAGGCAGCCTTCTAGTCGGCGCAGACGGCACATGGTCTCCTGTGCGGCAGCAGCTATTTCCCTCATATCAGCTAGCGGATTCTGAAGGACGACTCATCTATGGCAAGACGCCCATGGCCAAGGAGCTAATCGAGCAATTCTCGCCAGTTGCCATGTCCGGCCTCACGCTGCTACGTGGCCCGCAGGACAGCTGCCTCTTGGAGCCCATGCGCTTCAACCACGCTGATGTGTCGCTACCTACGCCCGAGGACTACGTGTACTGGGTTCTCTTCGCGCGGAAAGAGCAGTGGATGTCGGACGACAAGCTTATACGTCTCGGTCCTGAGGATATCGTAGCCTTGTCGCGTAATCTGACAAAAGCCTGGCATGGGAGCTTACGGCCACTGTTCCATCAGCACGGCACTATCGCTTCAGTGAGTCGTGTGCTTACCAGCCGACCATCAGCTCTACCGACAGCTGCTGCGCCATCGGGCGTACACACCGCTGCTCGGGCGACACTTATAGGTGACGCGGCACATCCTATGCCGCCCACGGCGGCCCTAGGCGCGACAACTGCTCTGCGGGATACGGCGGCACTTGTACGCCACTTGCTGGAGAGTATAAATGGCCAAACAGGGCCGGCAGCGCTGAGGGCGTATGAAACTGAAATGAATGGATATGCACGAGCGGCGGTGGCGAGTAGTTTACCTGGTGGGAAGGCCATGTTTGGGATGAAAGACTTTGACCAGTTACCCGTGGCCGTTTGAGCTACAGTGAGAGACCATGAAGGCAACTGGTCTAAGGTGAGTACGATAGTTAAGATGTGTAAGCTTGCGAAGAGGATAGACGCTACTCAACTTCACAGATAAGGCAGACTCTGCCGTCAAAACCCCATGAACAGCTTCTGTTCGTCTGGAGGCAAGAGGTGTCTGATTCTTCACTGGGTGCTCTTTTAAACCATTACTTCAGCCGCCCATGTATTAATATCATGTCGCAATACGCCATGCGACATTTTGTAATCTCTCTCGGTGGCCAAGGTTCCGTTGGTCATTTCTCTCTCCCTAGATGTACTCCGTGTTGTCCTTCCTTGAGTGCCGGTGGCGAGTATCTGCAAACCGAAAACACCAGAATAGTAGCCGCGTCTAGTTGAAATATTGCCGGAGGCCAGTTCACTTGAGAAGTAAGGCTCAAAGCGCGTGGAGACACATATAGAATCACCGTAAACTCGAAACAATTAGCAAATCGAATGAGCTATATGATTGTGACGTAAAACGCCCTTTGGCGTTGAGTTCGAGTAACTGCGAGTTCAGTGTATCCTGTGTTGGAAGAATAAGAGGATAGCTGAAGGGGGTACCTTCGTACTTCAATAAACTGTGAGATTTCAGAGTGTTCTATCTAAGGAGAGGAATTCCAGCTACTCTGGAGCGGCCAGAGTGGCCCTATATATCCAAGATACTAAAGGAAAGGATACGTGGCCTTATATTGGCCACGTATGTGACAGAGCCACAGATGGAGATGTTGATCCTGAAGGATGACTATGGATGGGCTAACGTAGCCCAGAATCCAACATAAACAGAAAAGTGACCTCGGACAGCTACATAGTTGGGTGATCCCACCGAATAACCAATAAACTGCTAACACTAGAACAAGCCACTGAGCACGTATTATGTTTGGGGGTAAGTTTGTCACTGGCGAACCTTAACAAATTAAGCCTTTCGGAGAAAGTTCAACTATTATTACTCCTATTGGCATGCGTCCTTGCTTATGCCTACGTACCTACCTCAAATTCTCTCTCATCGTTCTTAGCCAGGAGCTCGCTCAACTGGACTGAACGTTGCAACCGTCGAGATCCCCGATATTCTACGATATCAACACCATTCACCCCGAGAGCACAAGCTGTCAATACAACTTAACACAGCACTACGCATCCTCCACTGCGACCTGGTATGATGGCTACGCGCTCACTTGAAATCAGTTCGGACACAGTTACAATGGGCATCACGAGTGTTGTGGGCCCCGTCAGACAGACGGCCAAAGGACATAAATCTCCCTCCTTCTATGATATGCCAAACGAACAGTTTTTGGCATTTGCATCCTTTACCACCACGGGTACCAAGAAGGCCCTCGCACTGTTATGTCGCCACCTCTATTGGCTCCTTGAACCTGAGCTCTACAAGGAAGACAACCACGGTGTCCTTCTGGATTTACCTTACACCCAAGGGACAAGCCAACTCAGGCTAAGCTTCTGGCTTTCCAAGAAGAAATTGCCGACATTCTCAAGGCACAAAAGATTGAGACCCACACAGTCTGGCATCACTATAAGGTCGATGGATGCCCAAGAAAGGTCATCAGTACAGAAGGGTTCACAATCGATATTACTGACACTGTTGTTGCCGATGAAATTGAAGGCCAAACAGGCGACAGACCTCTGAGGTGCATACTCCCAAGAACACGACTAATTCTGATCCAGAAACCACGTGAATAATCTCTCTGTCCAGTGCAGCAAGGAAACCATTCACGCTTTTTGCCCATTCAATGACCTCAAGGCATATTCAACACACCCCCAAGGTTCACCAGTGTGCAAGCTGTTTCAGATACCATGGTAGGAATTACCGATGCGAAAAACAAGTATGTGCACACTGCGCCAGCGCAGTACACCAGGGGGATTGTGAAAAATCAATCCCAAAATACGTCAACTGCAAGGGGCATTATGCTGCTGATTTCGACAAATGCCCTGCACGCCCCAAGGTCGTGAAAGGTATCATCCATAAGCACACATGGGAGCAAATCCAGGAAATAAGGCTGGCCGGAAAAAGAGCCAGATCTAGGGCCTTTAATGAAACAGACAGAAACCAAGCTGGGTCAACACCTAGCAACAATAACAAAAACACCACAATACAAATCGATACAACAGATACAGCTCATCCCAGAGATGCCGACACCATTATTGTCAGTCAATATTAGGTACATCAAACGAAACACATTGACATGGGCATCTAGTCATCCATTCTGTAAATACAGCAAGAGGACAAAAGAGTACAGGCCCTACAGAGTTAGCCATCAACCTGGCTGATTACAAAGAAGAAAAAACATATATCATTTTGATGCAAGAGCCCTAGGTTGATATACCACCAGGCAAGAGAATGGGAATAAAGACACCCCCCAATTACGATATATATTCCTCAGTAGATTCCTGGGACAGCGACAGTACACGGCCCAGATCTCTCATCTATGTGAGAAAATATCTTTAAGCGGATCAATTTCGGCCTTACGTTACACGAGATATCACTTAGGTCAAGGTACAAGGTATTACATTTGCCAGCGTCTACTGACCATGCCATAACCCACAGGAAGTGGATGACATTCTAGAAGTATGGACTCCACCCTTTGGCTGTGTCATAGCCGGAGATTTCAATGCTAGCGATACATCCAGGGACTCAAGCAATCCAGGATATCATGGTAATGCTATACTTGCACAGACTATGGCAGATCACAGACTGGATCTGATTTCTGAACCAGATGTCCCAACACATGATAACAGAAATGTACTAGATCTGGTTTTCTCAGATGTCCCCATGGCCGAAGCCTCAGTAAATGATGCACTCCAGTGCACTTCAGATCATGAGACATTACGAATAGTTGTCCCAGTTCAGGGAGACCTGGACCGGGTCCCCAAGGCTAATCGGTGGATAGTCCCGGACGATAAACTACAAGAGCTGGTGAATAATGTCCAAAATAGGATTTATAAGCTCCCCCGGCTGGGTGCATCCCCTGGCCAGGTAGATGCCTTTACGCAGAGTTTGATCAACATAATCCAAGGCTGTGTCAGAACAGTGGGCAAGAAGCCCCGACAATCTAGGCCCACTGCTTGATGGAATGATGAATACAAAGCAACTATTCAGACATACAAGGCCTCGTCCAAACAGACCACAAGCCAAGAAAGGCGGAATTCAGCCCAACGGGACTTTTGCCGCGTGGTTTGGAAAGCTAAGAGAGAGTACTGACAGACTCTAATTGATTCAGCAACTGAGCCAAAGGATCTGTACAAAATCGTTTCTTGGCACAAGCTGTCAGCAGGATTGCGTTCCCCTCTAATCATCATAGGAGACCAAATATTTGAGTCATAAGAGAGCAAGGCAAATGCACTACGCTCAGCCACGTTTGAACAAAGTACCTCAGACAACGATATCATTGACCCCTGGTCCGCTCAGATCACACAACCCAAGCCACACATCCCACTTGAATACTATGTCGGACTGGAAAAGGCTGAAGGGTGCACTATAGGGACCAAGAGCAACTCCCCGGGAATAGACACCCTCACAGTACGGATTCTGAAAGCTTGCTGGCCAGTCATTAGGGAACATATCAGAGCCCTCTTCCAGACCTGTCTACAGATCGGACACCACCCTAAACCATTCAAAATAGCTGAGGTAGTGATGATCCCAAAACCAGGCAAGACAAATTATTCCAATCCCTAGGCCTACAGACCAATATTGTTATTGTTATGTTTTAGCAAAGGCTTAGAACGACTCATCACGAAAAGAACTACCTGATTTGTTGTTAAACTTGGAATTCTAGCTCCACAATATTTTGGAGCTCTACCAAAGCGCTCTTCCACTGACTTGGTAGCTGCACTCATACACGATATTGAGCAGGCCCTCGACCAAGGCCTCGTTGCAACGGTAGTCACGTCATATGTGAAAAGGGCTTTTGATACTGCCCTAATGGGACGGCTGGTGGTTCACATGAGAGAACAGGGCTGGCCAGACTTTCTCATAAGATGGGTTCAGTCATTCATGTCTGAACGGTCCGCAAGAGTTCGGTTTGAAGGTATTGTGACCGACATAAAAGCTCTCACTTGTGGGCTACCACAAGACTCACCAGCCTCTCCAATCCTTTATATGCTGTATACAGAGCCAATCTGTGCACAACTTGGTACGAAAAAGAGACGCTTTGGATATACATATGACCTAGTGACTCTCTATATTAAAAAGAACCTTAAGGAAATAGCTACAGAGACTTCTGAAAATCTTCATTTACTCAATCAACGGGGACACAATAATACTATTAAATTTGACTCTGACAAAACTAAGATCATGCACTTCTCAAGAAAAAAGAACTCAGACAACCCTCCAGTCTGCCACAGAACAATGAACAAAATAGCCAAGGTTTCCATGCGATGGCTAGGTGTCCTTCTAGATAGAAAACTAAACTTCAAAAATCATGTTTCTTACTGGGCCAAGAAAGCTAGTAAGGTAACAAATCACCTTCGAGGACTATGCAACACAGTCAAAGGACTCCCAGTAAAGTCAACCAAGAGGGCTATGAAAACTTGTGTTATTTCTATTCTTATATATGGCTTAGAGGCCTGGTACCCAGAAATCAAAAAAATCAGGAGCTCAGGTGAGACATCAGCATATTGCATTAAAGGGCTTCTTAGAACGATAGATGCTGTAATACAAATAGCGATCAGGGCTATCCTGCCGTTCTGGAAAACACACCCTGGATATATCCTATACTTTGAATCACAGATTTTTTTAGCAGGAGTTCTTACGGAGTCAATAAGACGACATTACGGCCTATGACTCGGATAAATAGACCAGAGACACCTTTTTTTTGGCAGGCTCTAAGTACAAGCTCGCAAGGAACCAACAAGGCTATAAAGGAGCTTCCAGCTAGTCCCTGACTTCTAGAGACCAACACTCCCCAAACTATCATAAAAGAAGCCCCCAATCCATAAGGACAAAGACAAAAAAATAGAGCTCTTTAAGCAATGGCTACAGGAAAGAAACGTAAACACTGACCTTATCATCTACTCAGATGGATCACAATTGGACGACAAAGGCACAACCCGCACTGGATGGTGCTATACTATTAGGAAAAACAACACTACACAAGAAGTATACCGGGAAAAGGACAGACTTCTATAAACAGAAATAATAGATGTTAAAGTTCATGGCGCTCTCTAAAGACTTGTAGCAGCCAGGGCAATTGGACACGGAAAACGAGTATATGTCTGCCTGGACAACACAGCAATGATAGATAGGCTCAATGGGACTCCACCCGAGATATCAGAGAACATTTTTTTACGATTCCAAGAACTTGTCACGGCACACACTCTTGGAGTGACTGTCAAATAGATTCCTGGACACAGAGATATTAATGACAACAAAACTGCTAACACACTAGCAAAAAAGGATGTCATACTAGAATCAGACATAACAAACCTTCCCATAATCTCATGGGTCAAGAGAGATCTCAAAAGAAAGGGCAAGAAAGAGTTCAATCAATAATAAAAAGACCAATCAGAACCTAGATATCAAGAAGTATAGTCACATATAATAACTAAAAGAGACCTTATATCTTTTAAGAGGAGTACTTTATACAGACTTCTAGCAGCCAGATCTGGACATGGCAACTTTGCCAGATACCACGAATACTTTGGGCATACAGACTTAAATGATCACTGCAGCTGTGGTGAGAAGAAAACACTACAACATATTTTCTTTTATAAGAGGCTGGGGAAAAATCGGCTGCTGCCCAGGTACTCGCCTAGGGCAGCTTGTTTACAATACTTAGGGGAGAGGAGTACAGAATAAGCAAAATTTGTGAAGAAGAGCTAATTCTTTTCATCAATCTGCCCTCAATAGATAGCTGTTCTTGAAGGACCAGATGAATGACCCAAGGTCATACCGCCGCAACAACGGGGATGGGCTCGTAAGCGGGACTGACTGTACTTATTATCTTGATACCTCCACAACCCTGCGATGCAGAGGCTCTGGGAGGCGTAGTTTGTACTACTGAGGAGCAATCCCACACGTTAAATACAAAATAAACAAGCAAATAAACAAACAAACAAACATTCTATAATGAAGAGCCACCAGTTGGTCTGTAGCTTACATTGAGTGCTGTTCTTCCGCTGTTCAAAGGTTGGATTTTGACCGTCATTTAGCTTTGCAGGGTCTGCCAGCTTGATGGAATGTCGCATGGCATTTGAGGTTGATGCCATAGAAGCTGGGGAGTCCCATCTATGGGTTGTTGTGTATGGAGAACCTGTTTCCAAAGAAGGAAAGACTCGTTCTTCTTGTGGTACGCTGAAATGCACAGACTGTCGTTCTGTTATGTGCCTTAATGGCTCAGACCTCGGGATCCGGGTGTGTAATTCGGTTTGCAGTCTGGCTAGCTGCTCTGGCGTAAACGCATCTAGGTTGAAGAGCAAGGGGTTGTTTGATCGGCCTAGAGCACCGCTCATGGTTGGTGCCATGGGCTGGGTCTGTGGGTCCTGGGATGTGATCCTGGAGGATGATGGAGACGATGAAGCGTTTGAGGGAGATTTACTGTGGGTCAAAGCGGCCCTTGATCGCGTGTTTGGCTTGCTCTGGCCCCCTCGTGCCTTGATTCTCTGTTTCTTTGGTTCTTTGTTTGGAGGAAGGTTGTTGGTATTGGGGGATGTTTGAATAGGTTGGGCTGGTCTTCCAGTCCCTTCAGAACTATCCTGATGTTCTGGAATAATAATGGTACTCATCGTCACAGTATATTGGACGGAATCAATAGTAATAATAGGTGGGATAATAAAGGGATAATAAAGTCTTGGGATAGGTGGGTGTTCAGAGACACTGTACCTGTCATTGCTAGAGGCAAAACTTCTTACAATGGTGATCTAAAGACAAGGCTTCTAATCTGGTATAGAGGAGTCTTGATATTATGTCGCGGCGAGCATACTGAGGAGCTGGGACATAGCCTGCAGCAAGCAGCTATTACTCTATTGACGAGAATATCAAGACTAGAAAGGAAAGGAAGAGAGAGATAGAGAGAGAGAGATAGGTACAGTGGGAGGTTGCCCCTGGGGATCCTCTAGTCAGATCCTTCCCTTATTAGGAAGTATCCACTTGTCATGTGGGAAGGTCTGTGCAGGCCGTCACATTACTTGGACTTTAAAGACGCCCACCACCATTAACGAAGCGGTAAACCAATTGGTTTATATTCAAATCAAGTCAGAAACTACCAAAGAAGCTCACTTACATCAATAATTGATGCATTAAGCTCGTTTTTAGAGACTACATACGGTCTTATGCACAAGGTCGCTTTGGTTGATTCCCGGGTCCGCAAGCTAAAGGAGGCCAATCACTTATTAAATAAATGCCAGAGAACAAAAAACAAATATCTAATAAAAGGAAGAATATTTTTTATTAAAAATACAATAGGTCTTCAGGCTGTACAGGATGGTAATGAGCTGGCAAAACTGGAAATAGGTGAAGGTAATTGTCATCCAAAGAGGGCAGCAGCACATGAGCAACGGTGTGGCATTTGCGGCAATAATATCCATAATACACAAACTTATACAATAGAGATAGAAACGTCTAAAGAAAAAGAATCCGATTGATTAGATTGAATTAAATGCGTTGTGGTGAAGTTATTTCACATGGCAGTTGAAGAGTTCATGACAAGTGCCAACTCGCTTGTCAGCTACGTTATTGGTAGAATTTTTATTATAATTTAAATCCATATCTTTTTTAAGAATTTACTAGTAAGAAGGGTGTTACCTAAAGTAGCTTATAAGTTTAAATTTTTTTAATCTTTTTCAAATCATAAAATGAAATGAAAAGTTTCAATTGAAATGATTTAAACCAAATTTGTGAGCAGAATTCATCTGTGTATGTAAGCAGTATGCGGCTGCCAGCTTCCGTGTCAGGTGACACAGGGGGTCCACAGCTGCCATACATTTGTTTTCCCATCAGAAGACAGTAGATAGACCTTTTCCTGAATACAACAACGATGGACTCTTCATCGTGCACACATCGGATCCGGGATATTGCCCCCAAAATTGCAATATTTATAAACAAGAAGATTTTTTTTTTTTGCTTAAATATTTTTAAATAATGTAATAACAAAATTTGTGTTTTTATTATTGGAGTAATATATACTTGTATTGATTTATGAAAAACCCCCAAAAACTGGTAAAACATACTTTTTAGCGTAAATAACTGATAAATTTATTCGCTATAATCTTAATTTAAAACAAAGTTAATAAGATTCTTTTAATTAAATATCTTTTCTAATATTTACGTGAACTAGAAGCTATAAAAATGGTAAAAACACGCTTTATATATTATTATTATTACTCATACGCTGACCCGCCGTATGAACATCTCGGAGAGTCTTTTGGCATGCAGACCTCTTATGATCTATCTTTGTATGGTGAAATCTAGCAGGGGATAAAAACCCACACGTTACAGTCTAGTTCTGGCTTCGTTACGGCGCTGCTGCGGTTTGCTGCAGTTGTATCTCATGACCTTCACCGCCTTGACTAACCTCATATGGCGCGCATCCTTTGGCCCATAAAACCTCTTCCCCCTTGTGATATTCCCCCTCCCCCTCGTGATATCCCTACTACCATATCCCCCCTCCTTCTCCATTCTATCCGGTACCGCTCTATATCCTCTGCGGTCCGGCTCTTTAGCGCCTGTTGGGCCACCTCGCCACCACTTAGCTTCCTTGCTAGTGAGAACATCCCTAGTAGCCCTAGTCTCAAAAACCACCGTATAAATTTTGGGGTCTTGTCCGGATCTGACAGCAAGCTCTCGAAGTCTTTCCTTGACCGTAACATTCTCGTCCCGAGAGAGGCTTGTAGTCTGCCTCTTTAGGCCGCGTATAAAGGGCATCAAACCGTCACGTGGTATGCCGTCTTCTTTTCGCTGCAGTCGCAACGTGGTGTAGCCTCTCCTGGCACTCTCGTCTGAAACAGGAAAGCCCTTAAGCCGATGGTCTCTGTCCGAAACTGGCACAGGGCAGACGCCTCATGTTTCCGCAGTCAGTAGTAATACTGCGGGACCGCCCTTACAAGCTCTTGTGTGAATTCTCTTTGAGCTGCCGGCGACCTCGAGCAACTCCCGTCTGGCTGGCTCTTGCGACAGCAACTATCCATCGACTCCTCTACGACCTCTCCAGTGCCTGTTCCGGGCGGTCTTGGCCCAGCCACTTCAGGATTGCCTCCTTCCGGTCCGTTGGGTTATCCTTCTGCTGGGACGCTGTTGCGTGGGGCGACCGCTGAGGCCGACCTCTCCCTCGCCTGCCGCCTTGCGCGGGTCTCCTTGCGGCTTCCATTACCTCCAACCTTGCGTCTCTCGCCCTCTCTGCTACCTTTCTTGTTTTGACAGTAACGTGTCTACCTGCCTTTCTGTACATTCGACCTTCAAACGCCGCCACCCTCATATCTAGGTATGCGTCCAGCGGGACGCTTTATATATATAAACCTTTAAAATTACTGAATTAAAAAAGCGGTTGCTGAAAAAATTTGTTATTATATTCATTTTGAATTTTATTATAGACCTGGACAAGTTAAATTGTTTAAAACTTAATAATACTAGTTACAAATAGAAATAATATATATCTATTATTGTACATAACGCAGTAAAATTGCTTCATTAAAAAAGTAATTAAAAAATTACTTTTATTACTTGGTTTGAATTTTATTATAAATTTAAATAAATGAACTTTTTTTAGATTTATTACTGCAAGATTATTATTTATTATTTTATTATAACTACTCCTAATATTGTATGCCGTCTTTATATTTGAAATCTCTTTAAAATATTTACCGGTTTTGTTAAAGTTTTTTTTAAGTATGAGATTTGTTTAATTTGTTGGGTTTAAATTATAAAAATAATAAAAAGATGTCCAATCCTTAAACTATATTAACTCATGATCATAATTGAAATATTTAATACATATTAATAAAAATATTATTTATATTCTAGTCTAACGTAGGTCACAAGCGAGCGGCAATTACAAGCGAACGGCAACTTTTCACCAATCTTCTAACCAACATGTCAAATAACTCGACCACAACGCATTTAATTCAATCTAATCAATTGGATTCTTCTTCTTCAGACGTTTCTATCTCTATTGTACAAGTTCGCGCTATCTCTATTGTACAAGTTCGCGCATTATGGCCAGTGTTGCCGGAAACGCCACAACGTCGCTCACGCGCTGCCGCCCTCCTCGGACGATGACTACCTTCACCCATTTCCTGTCTTGCCAGCTCACCACCATCCTTTACAGCCTGGAGACCTATTGCATCTTCAACGGAAAGTACTCCTTCTTTTACTAGACGTTTGTTTTTTGTCCTCCGGCATTTACTTAGTAGGTGATTGGCCTCCTCTAGCTCGCGGACCCGGGAATCAACCAAAGCGACCTTGTGCATAAGACCGTATGTAGTCTTTAAAAACGAGCTTAATGCATCAATTATTGATGTAGGTGAGCTTCTTTGGTAGTTTCTGACTTGATTTGAATAGAAACCGACTGGTTTACCGCTTTGTTAATGGTGGTAGGCGTCTTTAAATTCCAAGTAATGGGTGGCAGAATGGGGTCTGGCGACGGTGTTCGTACGACAGCGACAGCATCCAGCTTTGAAGTGACACTTTCTGGATCAAAAGGAACAAGCCCAGTAGCACTGAAACCTGCTCGAATGTTTCCCGGTGTCATAGCAGCGTTGTGCATTTCACAAACCGCTATAAGGAAGTCCTCCTTCAAAATGTGGGTTATATGACGCTGGATGAGATCCTCAATCATGTGACCATAAGCTCGTTTAAACGGGCCAAAATAATTAAGATCTAATGACTGGAGCCTGTGTAACAAGTGGGCAGGCATACAAAGGGTAATAATGCTGTTGTTCTGGCAATATCTCTCAAAGATCTGGGAATGGTGGCTTTCGTGACCATCTAGGATGAGGAGGCGTTTACCGGCAGTCATACGCGGTCTGGTATACTTGTCGAAATGCCGAATCCATTCCAACCCAATCTCGTTTGTAGTCCACCCATTATCGGACACGGCCACCTTCCAATCGCGTGGTAATGTCGTGTCGCGATACCATGACACGAGGTGGGTTTTGCCCTGTAGAATGATGAACGGCGGGACCACCCAACCATCAGCATTGACAGCAGAAATTGCTGTAGACCATTCCCTGTTGCCTTGCTGGGCTTGTCTAGGCCTACCACGTCTTTCGGCGCTTGTAATGACCATGCCGGACCCAATAATGCCCATCATAAACCCAGTCTCGTCGAAGTTGTAAATATCCGTGTCTTGGATACCATGTTTCGCGATTGCCGCCGCAACTTGGCGAAACCACGCGCAATACGCGTCCGGATCTTCGTTCAAGACCCTCTCGTAGTCCATCCTCCGATGAAAACGCGTCCGGAGGCCTGATATACGTTTGATGAAGTTCGCCGTCCAGTTCTTTCCAACGCGTCCAGCCCCGCGCGCCGCCAACAATTGATTTGCCATATCTTCAACATAAGTGTACCGGGGCGGAAATGCTCGCGCATCCAGATCGATTATGAAGGAACAAATGGCATTCTCTTCAGAAACCGTAAGTTTCAAAGAATTAGGCATGCTATCGCGTCGTGATGGTCGGCCGGCGATTCTAGCCTTCAAGGTATTGTATGGGACATGGAAAGTCTTAGAAAGCTTGCCAATGGTAATATGAGGGTCGCGTCGCTTAGCTTGGACAGCAAGCTGTAAGTCTGATTTGCTATAACGCAATGCCATTATTGTTGGTTGATCAATTAGGAGCCTTGATTGAAAGGTTGGGTGGCTGGTGAAAAGTTGCCGCTCGCTTGTAATTGCCGCTCGCTTGTGACCTACGTTAAACCTATTATAATTTAACTATTAATCAGAAAAACTTTTTTATATATATTAAATATAAATAAACTATGAAGAATCTAAAACCTGTTTATAATTATTATAATATTTCAGTTCTACTTTTTATTATTATTGAATAGAATTAGACCTCTTTAAAATTAAAATAAAAATAAAGAAAATATTTTAAGTAATGGAGAATTTACTGCCTGCTTCGCCGGGTTTAGCGGCACGACCGGTTTGACATAGCGTCTCATCTGCCCTGTGCGAGCTCGCGCATGTGCACAATCCAGTCTGCCGCATCTCATAAGTACGGACGGCACCCCCGACGATCCTTTATGGGTACTCTCTACATTCCCCCCTTATACTCCTGCCCTTTGTCCTATGGATCTTGGTTTCATAGCCGTTCAGTTCTACACCACCTGTTGTTGCCCAGACGTTTGACTAACAGCTGACTCTGCGAATGACTTTAACTATTTTGGGAATCTGTAAACCTGCCCACCTCGACACCCATCTCGACACACATATAGTGGCTTTCGCTATCTCAGCTGTCGATTATTATCCATCGTTTGCTAGAGTTTGAATACCTCTCTGCCCAAGCCGTAGAGCTCGGAATGTCTGGATAAGGGCGCAAACTCTGCAAGATAATTTTATCAGGTACTGGACGCTGTGTGGAGTGCTCAGGGAACTACGCCAAGGAGGAGTACATCCATCCTTCGGTAGTCTGCAGCATGCAAAAAACAGGTCTTTGACGGCAAGGGGCAGTCAGTTCTTGCGTATGGTTCCAGAATTCGCCGTGGAAGCCCGAACAAGGACCGAGCATAGCAATGCGGCCCTTCCACACTGGGCGCTTATTTGGCTCAAACCTTCTCTTCTCGCCCACACAATTAGACTGTTGCGATAACCCAGCCGTTTCATGCAAGTGAAGGAATACATTAGCTGACAAATCTTGACCCTTCATCGTCACTGGAGGCCTCCGAGTTGGCTGAATGAGGCAGGTAGGTTACCTCCCGTATACCACGATCTCATCGACGTCTTCTCAGAAGCCAGGAACTACCCTAACAGCGCACATATGACCACAAAATTGACATTGAACCCGGCAAAACGGTACCAAGCTCGAAAACACAACCGATGTCACAATCAGAACTGAAAGTAGTGACGAAATACCCGAACGACAACATGCTGTAAGAGGTTCATCCAACCATCACTGTCAAAATCAGCTGCTTCACTCCTGCTGGCACATAAGCCTAGTGGTGGCATCCGGGTATGAGTAGACTACAAGGGCTTTAATAATATGACAATTAAGAACCCCTACCCTCTGCCGCTAATTAGAGCAACCCTCAACGCCCTATGCACGTTAAGAGTCTTCACAAAGCTTGACGTGATAACGGCGTTCAACAGGATACTTGTGGCAAAAGGGCATGAGTGGAAACCGGCATCCACGATGAGATTTGGTCTTTACAAGTTTTGGACTATAATGCTCCCTTGACCTTCCAGCATTACATAAATGACACCCTATACAGTTCCTCTGATGAAGTCGCATCTGCGTACCTTGACGACATTCTCCCTCCTCATCTATTCCAAGAACCTCTCAAGAGTATAAGGAACACGTCAGAAAGGTCCTGCTACCTCTCGTTATATAATAATTCATTTGATTAAAGACTCGCTTCAAGGCTATAATGTGAAGAACGAATCCCCTGATGAATAGTATATTTGTGGTGTTAGATTAGACAAGTCGGTGACTTATTGATCAGGCGGTGCCACATTAAGCAAGCGGTGCCGCATCAAGCAGGCGGTGCTACATCGGGCAGGCGGTAAAGAAAACAGGCAGGCAGTGTGGGATATCTTCTCATTTGGATGTCTTGAAAGACAATATGAGCGGGGATTGGATTATAGTTGTTAGATTCAAGCGAGTTCAGTGATTGGAGGGTGATTCTTGGTGTATTGCATGTAGTGTGTTGTATCTGTTCTGTCTGTTCAGGTGCCCCTGATCGGTTCCCAGTTTTGGTGCTGGTCATCTCCGCCGTACCGTGGTTTTTCCGGTCGGACTCGGCTCATCTTCATGACCCCTGTTATCCAACAATAGTCGAGAACTGGATCATGGGCAGGAACTGGACCACGGACTGGAAAAGGCAGTGGATAGGTGTCCAGTCTTGAATATAATCTCGATTTTGGTTTTTATGGCCACAGCGCCAGCTTTGGATCTTTCATGTCCATACGTGGGCGTTCAACGTGAAGCCCGCAGCCCTTACTTCATATACGTATTTTACTACAACGCTGGTCGCCCATCTACTGCTTCTTCCAGCCCTTGGCCCAGTCCTATGATCCAGTTCCCACCCAGGGGCCGTTTTCTGCTCATGATCTTGTTTCCACCCGTGATGCAGTTCCTACGCCATGGTCCACTTCTTCTTTGTGATTCAATTCATAAGAAACACTGAGAGAGAACAGAAAGACGGCCATGAAATACCACAAGACTTCCTGGCGTTAATAACATCAGTGCTCTGATATTGTTTTAACTATTTTTTCTTTTAGTTTTTTGTTTGAGCTGGGTCAGAAGGAAGGCCTTTCTGGAACCCGGAAGTTTGTATATACCGAGGACTGTTGTCTCTGTGTTGAGTAGACTTCACTTCTTGCCTGTGATCCAGTTCAAGAGTATAATCCAATTCTCGCACATGGTCGATTTCCTGGTCATGATGTCTTTCAAGACATCCATAGTAAGACATGTCACTTACCGCCTGCGCATTTCTTTTGCTATCAGCCCAGTTGGTTGGTACCCCTGTTGGATTCTGGGCTACGTTAGCCCATCCATAGTCATCCTTCAGGATCACCATCCCCATCTGTGACTCTGTCACATACGTGGCCACATAAGGCCACGTATCCTTTTCCTTTAGTATCTTAGATATATAGGGCCACTCTGGCCGCTCCAGAGTAGCTGGAATTCCTCTCCTTAATAGAACACTTTGAAATCTCAAAACCCCTTGCCTACCCGATACCGCCTTCTTGATATAACACCGCCTGCCCAATGCGACACCGCCTGCCCAATATCACACCGCTTGTATAATTGTACACCTAATACACATTCATAGACGATGATGATGATGATGATGATGATTGTATTTAACGTAGGGGATCGCTCCTCAGTAGTGCAAACCACGCCTCCCAAAGCCTCTGCATCGCAGGGTTGTGGAAGTACCAAGATAATAAGTACAGTCAGTCCCGCTCACGAGCCCATCCCCGTTGTTGCGGCGGTATGACCTTGGGTCATTCATCTGGTCCTTCAAGAACAGCTATCTATTGAGGGCAGATTGATGAAAAGAATTAGCTCTTCTTCACAAATTTTGCTTATTCTGTACTCCTCTCCCCTAAGTATTGTAAACAAGCTGCCCTAGGCGAGTACCTGGGCAGCAGCCAATTTTTCCCCAGCCTCTTATAAAAGAAAATGTGTTGTAGTGTTTTCTTCTCACCACAGCTGCAGTGATCATTTAAGTCTGTATGCCCAAAGTATTCGTGGTATCTGGCAAAGTTGCCATGTCCAGATCTGGCTGCTAGAAGTCTGTATAAAGTACTCCTCTTAAAAGATATAAGGTCTCTTTTAGTTATTATATGTGACTATACTTCTTGATATCTAGGTTCTGATTGGTCTTTTTATTATTGATTGAACTCTTTCTTGCCCTTTCTTTTGAGATCTCTCTTGACCCATGAGATTATGGGAAGGTTTGTTGTGTCTGATTCTAGTATGACATCCTTTTTTGCTAGTGTGTTAGCAGCTTTGTTGTCATTAATATCTCTGTGTCCAGGAATCTATTTGACAGTCACTCCAAGAGTGTGTGCCGTGACAAGTTCTTGGAATCGTAAAAAAATGTTCTCTGATATCTCGGGTGGAGTCCCATTGAGCCTATCTACCATTGCTGTGTTGTCCAGGCAGACATATACTCGTTTTCTGTGTCCAATCGCCCTGGTTGCTGCAAGCCCTTGGAAAGCGTTATGGACTTCAGCATCTACTACTTCTGCTTATAAAAGTCTGCCCTTTCCCTGATATACTTCTTATGTAGTGCTGCCTTTCCTGATGGTATAACCACATCCAGTGCGGGTTGTGCCTTGGTTGTTCAACTATGATCCATCTGAATAAATGACAAGGTCAGTGTTCACATTTCTCTCTTGTAACCATTCCTTGAAGAGCTCTATCTCTTTGTCTTTGTCTTTTCGGATTGGGGGCACCTATAAACAGTAAGTGGAGCGCCTCGGTAATCTAGAGTTGCTCTTAGATTTGACCCCTTATTAAGGTCAGTCTCTATATTTCTTTCCCATAACTATTGCTTGAAGAGCTCTCCTTATTTGTCTTTGTCCTTATGGATTGTGGGCTTTTTTTATGATGATTTGGTGAATATTGGTCTCTGAAAGTTAAGAACTAGCTGGAAGCTCTTTTGTAGCCTTGTTGGTTCTTTGCAAGCTTGTACTTAGAGCCTGCCAAAAAAAAGGTGTCTCTGGTCTATTTATCCGAGTCATAGGCCGTAACGTCGTCTTATTGACTCCGCAAGAACTCCTGTTAGGAGAATCTGTGATTTAAAGTGTAGGATATGTCCAGGGTGTGTTTTCTAGACCGGCAAGATAGCTCTGATCGCCGTTCGTAGTACAGCATCTATCGTTTCAAGAAGCCCCTTAATGCGACATGCTGATGTCCCACCCAAGCTCCCAACTTTTCTGATTCCCGGGTACCAGGCCTCCAGGCCGTGTGTAAGAACAGGAATAACACAAGCTTTTACAGCCCTTTTGGTTGACTTTACTTCCTAACTCTCCGATGTTGGTTAGGTAAGCGGCTGCTTTTATAAGGTCGGCAGGATAAAGGTTCGAAAGTTCGAGTGCAAGATACGTTAAAGTCTTGTTTGACACATTCTGTGACGGCCTGCACAGACCTTCACACATGACAAGCCGATACCTCCAAATAAGGGAAGGATCTGACTGGAGGATCCCTTAAAGGGACAACCTTGTTACAACGCGTATAGGACAACTGTTGCGCCATGAGGCAAAAGCTTCAACAATGACCCGAATGGTCATTGACTCCTATTTCTGTACTATGTGCATTATTTCACACAGCGACCCACTGTGCGACTGTAACAACTGGCTCCTCGACATTGGATTATAAACAGGGAAGTGTCTAGATCATATGGACAGTTTTGTTCAACATAATAGAGAAGTAAAACAAAGACGCTACGAACCTTCTCCAGCTTTTGGGTTTTATCGAAAGCATCACGGGAAAGCATCAAGGGAAAGCATCACGGGAGAGCATCATGCATGCGGGTACCTAGGCAACGGTGAATTCGCGGACAAACACTCCCATTTGCATGGGCTCGATGCACCGGCATTCGCGGTATTTCAATTAACAGTATTCCGAGAACACCCAACCCCTTGCCAAGGCACTGATCATCTTGGTCATCTCACTATGCGCGGGTGCATGTGCATTGGGGTTGCCTGGCTACCTAAGGTAAAACTGTGGGACGGGGTGGAAGGGGTTATAAGGCAAAAAGAAAGCAAAACTTTCAACCAGATGAGGAGCAATTCCGGTGGTACCATATGAGGAGAATTCCGATGGTGTGTGGACTGAATTATGCTTCGTGACTATTTGGGCGGACAGATTAGGAGATGTAGGTGGGCCGAACTCCTTTTGGTCAGGTGTAGGGTTCGATTTTGACCGAAATCTTGGTTTTTTTTTTTTTTTTGCTAGCCTTGGCCCTTACCTTCCCTCATGTTGACCCTCAAAATCAGTTGGGACTGTATATGTTATCCCTGCCTTAATCTACTCTTGATGGGATGCATACCGAAGAATTACCTGCGTATACCACCAATTTTCATCATTCATGTGTACTTCCCAAAGATGCCTTAGCATACATTCATGGGCGTCTGTCCCCCTCTAATTTCAGGTTTTCGTTTGTGTGACATCGATCCAGCTCTAACCATGCAGTTTCAGTCAAGGCAACGAGGCCATCTATATGACGAGTAACTATATATGCCCTTCAGCCTGTCATGCCACTTGTCGAAGTGTGCCTCATCTAGAAACATGGTTTTGTGTCTATGACACTGCGCTTCATGTGATTGATGACCGGTTTACGTGCGTATCCTGATCCCCTCTGATATATGTCCACAGAAACAAGGGGAGTCGTATCTTCCCGATTATGAAAGCTCTTTTCTGCAGGCCCTCCACTCGGTGCGAACTCATGTTGGTGTTGTCCGTCTATAAAGGTTATGTGATAGGGAGACATCCGCTGGTATCTCTTAGGCCTTACTTGTTATTCCGCAGGACGATCATATTTGCCTGGTCTCTTCCCTTCCGTTTGACGTGAAGGTCCATGGTCAAGACCTGGACTAGGTCTCAGCCTCTAATTTGTCGACTTGACCTCGAAGCCTCTTGACAGCCAGTTTTCACCGAGGACCGTGATAGCAACAGGACTGTTCTCTTTGGTCACCCGCACGAGCTCTCGCAGGGTAGAGGTGGGTCCTACTTGACCGTGCGTGAAGGTCTCGACACAGGCGGGCGACTATATCGTAGGTCCCGTCCGGCTTGGCGATATTCTCGCCCAGGTCGCCTATCTCGAAGTTCCGGTATACGCCGGTCTGCCCAGCCACCTTGAGAATATCGGGAGACAGGTCGATGCCGTCGATGGTGGTCGCGCCGTCCTGTGCAAGTACTTCTCCCACAAGCCCAGTTCCGCAGCAGGCATCCAGGATGGGGCCCTTGAAGAGGCTGGCTGATGCGAGAACAATCTGGGCGACGATCACCGGCGCTGCGTAGTTGTAATTCTTGACATCGTCATGGTTGTACGTCGCAGCCCAGTGGGCATAGAGCGCATATGACCCTCCACGGAGGCTGAGCCAGGAGATCGATCATGTCTGACGCTACCATGGTTCGAATGTCGGAGTGGTGCATCAATCAGGTGGCTTAACTCAATACGAGAAGAGAAAGGGGTGAGAGCATTGGGTGTAGAGGACCAAAAAGAAAAAGAAGTAATGTCAGCCGCTAGGAGAATTGAACCGCTGTGCCTAAGAATACCTTGTAAGAATACTTTATAAGAATATTTCGCTAGGCCCTGCCAACCCGGCTATTGAATTGAACTGCTAAATTCGTATATATATCCTGTGCCGTTGGGGTGAAGAACAGGGGACTGGGCTATAAGCTTTGCAGTGTGGCTGTTTTAGGAAACTTTGTTTACCTGAAAGTGAGTCAATTTTGTATGAATGTGGATGGACGGAAGGGTGGATTCCGGGCTGGATGATGGATGGATTGTTGGACGGTATGGACCGCCGATGTTCAATACTGTAAGTGAGGGACGGAGCTCAGATGTGAAATGTCAGATACCAGATGGTGACCATCGGTACGGTGTGATTTATACAATCGGCGATCTGTACCGTGAATCGGAAAGAGAGGAAGATGAGCAGAAAGTAGAAAGAAGATAGAAGAGCGGCATTCGGCAGTCCAAGACGTCCCAGTCGTAGAGAGGTTCCAGTCGTGCTACCTACCTATAGATCTGTCATCTCGAGCCGCTAGTAGCCTTTTCCCTGCAGGCTCACGCCTCTTGAATAACTAAACTACCTGTTCGCGTCCCGGGCTGCAGCCTGTGCAGCATCTCGCATGGGTCTCTTGCCGTCCGCTTCATGACCATTACAAGCCAGCAACGGTGAACTACCTATATGCTCGCAGACCAGGTACTTTACTTTAGGTAGGTAACAATCTCTCGAAGTAGTTGCCATATTGTCTCTTCGAGTGCCACCGGATGCGGCGCTTATGTATTACCCTGGGGGTTTCTCACCGCCCGGTTGGTAGAACTGGGTATTGGACTGGCTTGGCCGCATTTCTCGGCCTGTACAACTAACTCGACTGGTGGTTTTGAGGCATACGTCTCGAGAGATCCTCACACACGAGTGTCCCAGTACATCACTGTTCGATGGATCAGCGGGATCGTCGCTTTCACAATGTTCTCTTGCGAGAGGCTCGACCTTTGACAAGATAGGGGGGCCTGTGGACTCCGGATCAGCGGTGACCGTCGTCGGCAGGTAAGTTGCTCGCTTTAGAGGAGAGAGATTGGCCAGAAATGACACCACCCTATCCTTACTTCGCTCGCTATCCATGAAATTGCTCATTCCTTTGAATCCGATGGGTCTGCTCGATCCGTGTGCCCGACAGCAACTGCTTATCCCCTGCGCTGTCAGCGTGACACTCATATGAGCGAACTTTCACTGCGCAACGGTTCATAAAGTAGATGACGGGATACCCGGCTAGCCCATCAGCATCGCTGAGGTGTTCACAGGATATCTACATGCGCAGTTCATATCTCGTTCTGATCGAATGCGGACACGGTGTCGAGCCAGGTGCGTGTTCAACCTATGGCTCGAGATTCCAAGGTGGGCTATACCCTATCTTTGAGCATCATGAAGCATATGCATGTAGGTAGGCCTCTGTCCGCAGTAATGACTGTATTGATCAACCTCCCAACCCCGTCTGTTTGATATGGATCAAGTCGCGCATCCCATCACCTTCTCTCTCCCGCAGCTGCCGATACCCCAGCTTTGCCTTCTAATCGTCTGCAGTTCATGTGCACGTAACCGAGTAGGACTTTGCCGTTCTTTCCGTGAGCTTCCTTTGCTCCTCAATGCTTGCACCATATACTGGGTACTGAACATACAGCGATTTTTCATCCCTCCAGTGTTCGTATTCGTTTCGTGCCAACACATTCCCAATGAACTTGGTGCAATTATCGTCTTCGAAGAAACTCCCGCAGCAATTCTTAGGCAGATTCCCGGGGTCCTTGAACGACTTTATAGGCTCTCCGAGCTTTGTGCACTGTTTGCTCTTGTCCATCTTGATCGTTCCTACTTCGTCCTTGCAGGCAAGGTCTTTGAAGAGTTCGATGCTGCCGTCCTTGCCGGCGGCGGCGGCGAGGCTGGCGAGCGGGGCTAGGGCGAAGAGGCTGGAAATGAACTTCATGATGAAAGGTAATGTGGTAACTGAAGCGGTGTGTTGATGTGTTGATGTGTTGATGTGTTGATGTGTTGATGTGTTGATGTGTTGCCAAGTGTGTTGCAGATGCGTGCAGGTTTGATGATGAATCGAGATGTTGTAGAGGCCATGAAAGCAAGCAGGCACGAGTCCTTTATGTATTGGGATGCCACGGTCACCCGCCCACTTGCAGTCATCTTCAAATAGAAAGAAGCGTCATACGTGGCGAACACGGTGGTGGCCAGTTGCAAAAGAAAGGGCGAAACATGGCACCACGCCAGCGGTTTCTACCTGTCCATAAGTTACCGAATGAATCTATAAGCACTGGTGTAGGATGGATCCGCAGCCTTGTACACCGAGGATGCGTCAAAGTTCCACAACCGACGGTCTTGGTACCTGGATGCGGCTCCACGAACGGCCTGTCCGTTTCTTAGAATACAGGTGTCCAGGATGGTTAGCGGTTCCCCGTATATCTGCAATGGTAATAGGTAGAACTTTACACGATAGGAACTTTCTCATAATAAAAAAGGGTATGTATAAGCATGGAAATTACGAGCATTATATGGGATTTAAACCCATACCCTGGAACCGCTAACCATCACCATCCTTGCTACCTATACCTCGATGCGGCTCCACGAACGGCGTGTCCGTTTCTTAGAATACATAGCCCCTGTCATTAGTGGACAGGCTGCCGTACTATAAGTAGTGAAGTGCACACGTGTTACGACCCCATTTAATTGCGTTATTGTTGGAACATTGGTGTGTTGGCCGTACGTGTGGATTAGTCATCCACCTGGACCCCTTTTATATGGGGTCCAGCCATACGTAAGATGGACCTGTTCTTCTTCCGTGTGCACCTATCGAATATCAGAATCATACGTTCACCAACCCATGGGAAGTCAAACCAACAGGATGCTTTATTAAGCTAATAAATATCTTCGTAAACTTAATTTTAACATTAACAATCGTGTATATATCTTTAAATAAACCAGCACAATAACAGATCGTCCGAGTAATAAGCTTGATTATTTTTCAAGTTAATAACATTATAGGATTTGTCATGGTCTGGTACAGGTAGCGCATGTGGTGAGTCCTGGAGCCCGGACATGAGTACATGTACCACCATTGAATGTCAAGCTGTCACGCTTGATATTCGACATCCTTTTGGGAGGAACAGCCGTGGCATGGTGGTTATGGTGAGCGTTCCGTTACAGGATTATAGCTACATTAATCAATTAACCGAGTATATTTAAGCTAAAACTATTGAATTGATAGTAAACATTTCGATAGTTTTATCCCGATTATTTATATGAATATCTTAAAATTTTCGTTTCAAACTAAGCCTTTAAGTAACTTAATAGCACGATCATTAACCTTAATTTAAACGGAAAAAAAAAGCTTTTAAAGGCCTTTATATTATAAATTTATTACGCCAAGTTTTAATATTAAGTCTTTTAAAAAAGATAAAACTTTAACGGTTGTCAATATCTTGCTAATAATTTTAAGAACTTTGCTCAATATTTAAAGGCTTATTACGACGAATATGTAAAAGTTGCGGGGCTTATATTATACTTTATATAATAGTTTAAAGTAACAAAGGTCACAAGCAAGCAGGACACACAAGCAAGTGGGACACACAAGTGAGCGGGACACACAAGTGAGCGGGACACACAAACGAGTGGGACACTTTCACGAACCTTCCAACCAACATGCCAAATAACTCAATCCCAATGTATTTAATTCAATCCAAGCAATCGGATTCTTTTTCTTTAGACGTTTCTATCTCTACTGTATAAGTTTGTGTATTATGGATATTATTGCCGCAGATGCCACACCGTCGCTCATGTGCTGCTGCCCTCTTTGGACGACAACTACCTTCACCTATTTCCAGTTTTTCCAGCTCATTACCATCCTTTACAGCCTGAAGACCTACTGTATCTTTAATAAAAAATATTCTTTTTTTTATTAGATATTTGTTTTTTGTCCTCCGGCATTTACTTAGTAGGTGATTGGCCTCCTCTAGCTCGCGGACCCGGGAATCAACCAAAGCGACCTTGTGCATAAGACCGTATGTAGTCTTTAAAAACGAGCTTAATGCATCAATTATTGATGTAGGTGAGCTTCTTTGGTAGTTTCTGACTTGATTTGAATAGAAACCGACTGGTTTACCGCTTTGTTAATGGTGGTAGGCGTCTTTAAATTCCAAGTAATGGGTGGCAGAATGGGGTCTGGCGACGGTGTTCGTACGACAGCGACAGCATCCAGCTTTGAAGTGACACTTTCTGGATCAAAAGGAACAAGCCCAGTAGCACTGAAACCTGCTCGAATGTTTCCCGGTGTCATAGCAGCGTTGTGCATTTCACAAACCGCTATAAGGAAGTCCTCCTTCAAAATGTGGGTTATATGACGCTGGATGAGATCCTCAATCATGTGACCATAAGCTCGTTTAAACGGGCCAAAATAATTAAGATCTAATGACTGGAGCCTGTGTAACAAGTGGGCAGGCATACAAAGGGTAATAATACCATTGTTCTAAAAATAATCTTCAAAGATCTGGGAATGGTGGCTTTTGTGACCATCTAGGATAAGGAGGCGTTTACCGGTAGTCATACGCGGTCTGTTATACTTGTCGAAATACTGAATCTATTCTAAACCAATCTCGTTTGTAGTCCACCCGTTATCGGACATAGCTACCTTCTAATCGCGTAGCAATGTTGTGTCGTGATACCATGACGTAAGGTGGGTTTTGCCCTGTAAAATAATGAACGGCGGGACCATCCAACCATTAGCATTAATAGAAGAAATTGCTATAGACCATTCCCTGTTGCCTTACTGAGCTTGTCTAGGCCTGTCACGTCTTTTGGCGCTTACAATGACTATGTCAGACACAATAATACCGCTTATAAACCCAGTCTTGTCAAAGTTGTAAATATCTGCGTCTTTGATGCCATGTTTCGCAACTGCTGCCGCAACTTGGCAAAACTATGCACAATACGCCCCCGGGTCTTTGTTCAACACCTTTTGGTAGTCTATCTTTTGATGAAAACGCGTCCGGAGGCCTGGTATAAGTTTGATGAAGTTTGCCGTCCAGTTCTTTCTGACGCGTCCAGCCCCACGTGCTGCCAATAATTGATTCACTATATCTCCAACATAAGTGTACCAGGGCAGCAATTGTGACAGCTTGTACAGACCTTCCCACATGACAAGCGGATACTTCTCAATAGGGGAAGGATCTGAGCAGAGGATCCCCTTAAAGGGGCAACCTCCCACTGTACCTATCTCTCTCTCTCTCTTCCTTTCCTCTATAGTCTTGATATTCTCGTCAATAGAGTAATAGCTGCTTGCTGCCGGCCATATCCCAGCTCCTCAGTACGCTCGCCGTGACAGAAATGCTCGCGCATTCAAGTCGATTATGAAGAAACAAATGGCATTCTCTTTAGAACCCGTAAGTTTTAAAGAATTAGGCATGCTATAACGTCGTGATGGTCGGCCGGCCATTCTTTTAGCCAGTGTAGAGATTGGTAGGTGGAAAGTTTTAGCAAGCTTTCAAACAGAAATATAAGGGTCTTATTTTTTAGCTTGGACAGCTAGATGCATGTCTGATTCATTATAACACGGTGCCATTGTTGTGGGTAGAGGAATACTGGTTGGAAGTTGAAAGTTTGAGAGGTTTATGAAAGTGTCGCACTTGCTTGTGTGTCCCGCTCGCTTGTGGCCTACGTTATATATATTAATATTAACTTATAATAGGTTTATCGTTAAATTAGGTTTAAAAGTTATAAAAGTTTTTATAAGGATTGTGTTAGCAGTATAGTGACAGTCAGGGAGGTTGCTAGCTGACAAGAGGTCAGGCAGGTACCTTGGCAGAATAAAGAGATGGAAGCACTAGGAAAGGTGGCTTTCATAGGTGATAAACAAGGGATCTTTGACTGGAGGATCAATAGATGGGTACATCTTTGTATTTTAGTGTGTATTTAGTACTAGATTGGTCCCACAGACCCATGGATAGAAAACGCAACGCAATAGACCGATCATCACCCCCATATTCTGACTCTGATGATTTGATAGTTTTAATGAATTGAATTAACGCCGATATTAACGTAAATTTAATTAAAATGCCAACATCTGTTAAGTTAGTCGGAACTGTTACGAACCAACGAACAGTGCGGCCTGATAACAGGCTAAGAGGGGACGATTAGAAACAGGTTGACCAGTGAGTCGGGTGCTGATCAGTGGAGAGATTGGAGCAACAGAGCAACGGTACACAGATCACGTGACCAGCAGAACCTGGGTCATGTGACTAAGAATCTGGATCACTGGATCACCGTGGTGATCCAGTGAGCAGGATCACCTTGGATCACCGGTGATCCAGGGTGAGCCACCTAATCAGTGAGGGAGAGATTGGATATATAAGGACAGACATTTCCCAACCAGATAGATAGACAGTCTCTACCTCAGTGATCAATCTAAGCATCTTAGCCAACCCTAAGGTGGGAGAAATCTCCTGACGACTCGACTACACAGTGAACCCAGTTCAGACCAAGCCCCAGCATCTGAGTGTCTTTTAGTTGACAGAAGCCTCTATCGTCCTTTGTGTTGACTTACCTCAGAACATAAACCCTATAGAACCCTTTAGCCTTATAGGTTGGTTTGTTTGTTTGTTTGTTTGTTTGTTTGTTTGTTTGTTTGTTTGTTTGTTTATTTGTTTGTTTATTTGCTTGTTTATTTTGTATTTAATGTGGGGGATTGCTCCTCAGTAGTACGAACCACGCCTCCCAGAGCCTCTGCATCGCAGGGTTGTGGAGGTATCAAGATAATAAGTACAGTCAGTCCCGCTTACGAGCCCATCCCCGTTGTTGCGGCGGTATGACCTTGGGTCATTCATCTGGTCCTTCAAGAACAGCTATCTATTGAGGGCAGATTGATGAAAAGAATTAGCTCTTCTTCACGAATTTTGCTTATTCTGTACTCCTCTCCCTTAAGTATTG